CTAAATCGTATGGACTACGCAACCACAACTACCTTCTCAAGGTTAACACCCATAAACTCACCACTAGAGCTAACTTCTTCACCATTAAATATTGCAAACTTTGGAACCAACTACCCTCTGAGATAAGATCCTGTGAAAGGCCTGACAGTTTCAAAAGGAGCCTAGAAAAACATATAAACATGTCCACCCTAGCCCGCCTCAAAGATCTCAACTGCTGGTAGAGTGGAGAGACAATGGCTTTTCAATATTTAACTACGGAAAGTACACTAGTTCCCAGACTAACATAATAATACTTAGTAATTATGTAGGTTCAATACTTGAAATTCGATTGTCATTAAAATACTTAAAATGATTAAAATAGCTATGCGGCAAGTGTTCTCTTGCTTTACCATGCTTGTTTCCCTTATAACACTCAGTTATTGAGCCTAATGTATTCTTTGATAATACGAATTATGACACTGACTATGCTCTTATTATACATAGATTGATTTACTTTACGACTACCTGTAGTACTAACTACCCTTCTGTAGTATTGTTAAACAAATGCTGAAATTTTGTTGGTTCTGTTAATATCTTTTTATAATATGTGTAGACAGGTTACTTTGCAATGTCAAATGTTACTATATATAAGACTGTCATGATAATTTAGTACACTAAGTCCTGCCAACCGACCTTACCTTCAGTTCATACTACCTACATTGATCCCTAACTATATTGTTCTGCTGAATCTTGCTTCACTATTCACAAAACCTATTCTTTTTATTCTTTAAGGTTTTAACTTCTTGTAAAGTAATCTGTTCATTAGGACGCATGCATACATATATAATGTTCATAAAGATGTACGCGGAGACCTATTGGAAGCACTCATTAAGAAAGCTAGGGAGATGGAATATGAGGTACGAACATGTCTGGTACCAAGCAATATATTTGCGGTAGCCATAATAATCATAGTCTCAGAGCTTAACATCAAAAAAGGAGGGAGGGTGGCGTTAGCTGATCAGTAGATATGGTGGGGGTCACTAAGGTGAATCGCCCCATTCTGCAGGAACAGCAATATACAAATTAAAGGCTCGAGATATTTCTGATTTTTATGAGGGCTTAGATCTTTATCTTGAAAAAGATAATAATGAACGCCTTGACAGATCATGCTTCTACCTTTAAATATATACCATTCGCTCAGCCTATTGTTGAGATGCGACCACGTGGGATCTGCACAGATTTATGGGGCATCTTATAAACTAACTTGCTGTCCATTGTCAGATCTTTAAATACCACTTCACAATGTCTTATCTCATTCATTTTCCAATAACGTCTTTACTTGATCCTCATTATATCCCATTAAACCTAACATTTTACAGCTCTTTATGACTTATTATATTCCTACTCTCTGAAGGGTACGGTTGTGCACTAAATGCACAAAAAGGTATAAAACAAAAACAACTGGCACAACTGAGGATAAATGTATTAAAACCAAAAGTGGACATCATGATAGTACGAGATATACGTGTAGCATTATACATTGCAAATGAACGTTGTCAGCCTAGGGAGTTTCCTTTATTAATGCATTTATTAATGATACTTGCACTTACCTATTTCATTACAATTTAATGATTCACCTCAGCACTTTTACTTTTCTAAAACAGCTTTCAATCCCTTGTAAACGTTGTACTTACCTCAATATTGGTTGGTTATCGTATGCCGACAACCACGGGATGAAAACGAAACGAAGTCGATTTTCCCGCTCAACCTGGAGGACAATTGTACAATTCAATAACTATACAGCCTAGTTCAGACAATGTGTATTTATATATATATCAAATATTTAACTGTTGAAACATTATTAACTTGTAGACAATCTACGATTTGATATTATATCATACTTGATCGTGCCTGTAAAAATGGCATGCATTTTGATGTAAATTTATATGTTTATATGAGAATATACATTATTATTATTTTATAAAGAAATTATATCCGGTGAGGGAATTAGGTCAAAGGTGTAAATACATGAAATAATAATAGTATGAAATAAATTTTAAATATTTGTGATTAGGTTCATAGTTTAAGTCAAGTGGAACAGTAATTAATGTCATATATAAGATAATACATCGGGTGTATAGATTTTGGGGAGAGGCATATTATTATTATCATTATTATTATTATTACGACTCTCATTCTGAATCTTTTCCACTTGATCTACTTGACATTTTAAACCAAAAATTATTCATGTGTATACTTTTTATCTTTATTTTTACAATATTAAATTCTATGTTATCAAATTTCACACCATATTACGTAACATTTTACATTCGTCTATTAATCTTACAATTACATGCCTCTCCCCAAAATCTATACACCCTATGTATTATCTTATATATGACATTAATTACTGTTCCACTTGACTTAAACTATGAACCTAATCACAAATATTTAAAATTTATTTCATACTATTATTATTTCATGTATTTACACCTTTGACCTAATTCCCTCACCGGATTATTATTATTATTAAGTCTTTTTTAAACGCACTATTCAATCCAACACATGACCCTAACTCTGTAGCTCAAAACATTCTATAAATTTAGTTGTGACTATTAACAAGTAGAATGTCTATTTGAGGTATAGAGAATACATTTATTAGTGATTCAACACAAAATACAAACTCAACGGTACTGGAAACCACTTTCTTCAGCAACGAATCCCAGGAGGTTACTGGAACTACAGATTACCTAAAAAAGAAAACAAGGGTTCACAGGATGTATACATGAATATAACTACCAATTTAATATTAACAAGCCAGCACAGTAAGAATTAATGAAAGTTTATATCAATGTGAGATTACATCAGCCACTATTTTTGACACAAGTGGATAATTAGACGAAGTAATAAGAAGACATAATTTCTCTGAATCGTGTAGTGTTGTATTTGTGCAACATATTTTGGACAATCTGGTCACGCATGGACTTGTCATAAGAATACATATGAAATTAGTGCAGTTAAGAGGTTAGACATAAATTTAGGTGGAATTAAAATCACATATTGAATGTCAAAACAACAATGAAGCTCACTAAACCAAATATCAGAGGCATTAGTACATCTACCCTGACTGGTATCAAAACGAAGTTTAACAAAGGTTTCGTGTGATGGATATTTTTGGAACTCACAAAGGTGGTTTAAACTTCCTAATTACACTTGGGCTTCCACAAACCTTAGGATGCAATCGAAACACGTTTTACTGATAGGTTTAAAAATGTACCAACGTCAATTCTATGTCCTGTCTCTATAAGATGTTTCGAAATAGGGGAGCTGGGTTTCCTGTTCTTACCATTAATAGCTTATGAAGATTCTGTTCGCTTCTAGAGGCACTTAGGAATATGATGCGTAGCCCTTACTTGCAGAAATCGATAAGTCCTAAATGCATACAGCAACCACTCCTAAACCTTCGGTCCATGGCTTGAAGAGATGTCGGACAATACTTCTAGGCGATTTCAAAATAATTTTGCGAATTAACTTCGAACAAACTCATGTAATATGGAGCCAGGGCAATGACAAAAATCGGAAGTTTATGAAACCAAACTCAATAATGGGACAAAATGACGTACACCTAAGATGTCTTTATGTACCTGATCACGAGGATGGTATTCAAATCCACCAAATTACTAAAATGTTGCAGTGTGCATTTAACTCATTTAAAAACTTTGGCAGAAAACAGTGAATGTTATAAGTGATTGTAAAACATATTGCAGTTTCTGCCCATTTTTGAACACTAATTTTCGCTTGTATCTATGCATTCCATTGACTTTCAGCTACCAAAACACCACACAAAAGTGTGGAAGGATGCACGAATTCGATATCGACCACATTCTTTTATTCCTGCAACAGTAATAGCTACTAAACAATAGCTGATAGGGAAATTTGTCATCGAGTACAGGTTTCCACCAAGCTGCAAAGAAATTTGTCGAATGACAGTCATCGAAATGCACGCGAAGCTTACCCGGTATGCCAAATAATCATTGCATGAACCATGTATTTAAGCGTCCTGTCCCACAAGCAATCAGTAAATGCTCTAGAACAATATCGGGCGAAGTTTAAGAATAGCGTCCCAAAACCTTCAACGCTCAAATGACCTTGAACGCATGCTAGTCGTTGGCTAACGGTTCCTGTCATTATCATAACTGAAATATCAACCCTATTCATCAAATAAGGAGCAAGTTTCACCCAGATAACACTTTTATTACTGTTTGGACAATGTGTTAACATCTCTTTAGGGTTAGGATAGGGGCCAAGGCGAGTATTGTGGTTAGGGTTAGGGTTACGGTCATTGTGTGCGTCGGTGGCACAATGGTTAGGGTTAGGGTTACGGCTAGGGTTTAGCGTTAGGGTTAGGATTACGGTTAGGGTTTAGGTTTAGGGTTAAGGTTAGGGTAGAGATTAGGAATAGATTTTTCGTTTATTTCAAGTTCTTTTATTATCCTTATTTCCCTTGTATGTAGTCGCCAATGCTCTAACTGGAACCATAGTAACTAAACCGGGGGCTTAGGAGAGGAGTACACAGCAAGAGAAGAGAGATGAACCATTCCCAAAACAGCACACCTTCAGTCACTTTGGTGAATACATCTACAGAAACTAGTTCAAATTAGCGACTGAAACTCTTCATCGCAACTGGAACGTATTTTTAAGTCATATCAGAGAAATATAATCCGTTTAATGTGTTTTCATGCATTTTCTTGTGAATATACGTCGTTTTTCGTGCAAAAATTCCTCATTTTTATGATTGGCTGCCTGAAGGTCACTCGTGCGTTCGCACCCCTTGGGAGGCTATTGTTGAACTTTGCCCAATATCGAACAATAATTTTCATATAAATTCATCCAACAAGAGCAAAATAAGCACCGAAATCGCGCCTATTGCGTTTTCTGGACGGCTAGATAGAGGAAGCGGCACAAATGGCTTACGGAGAGGCTGAGCACTTGTAGGTCACATATAAGCATTGTGATTGGATAATTCAAGCGTGCGTTAACGCAGCGGCAATACGAAATAGGCGTGAAAGTGCTTATTTAGTGATATTTTAGTGATGTGTGATGATGTACTCAGATTATTCGACGATATTTTGAAGAGCAAAAGTTTTAACTCCTGGGACGTATTCGAGGATGCTTTCAAACAGTTTAACAAAGTTGCACAAACACATTATGTTGTCAGAAGAAGTCGTATTGACAGGAATAATCCTATTTTGAGATATGAACGGGTGGATTATGTGTGTACATTCGGTCAGAAAAGAAGAAGCCGATCAGAAGGAGTCAGACCTGGACCACCGTAAGTGTACAATTTTGTTTAATCCTGTTTTTATCAGTTTTAAGTGCATGGGTTGTACGTCAAGTTTCAGTGTGAACAGTGTCAACGGAAGTCTGGTTGTTGGTGATATGAGGGGTGAACATAATCATCCTTGTACACAAGAGTATATGATGGTTGACCATAGCAGACGTAATCTCTCGGGAATGCAGAGAGTCATAGTTGATAGTATGGTGGAATGTATGATTTCAACTTTTGAATTGAGAAATACAGTATTAATTAAATTCGGGAAATATATCAGCCGACAAGATATCGTTAAATTGAAACAGAAGATGACCGCAGGTACACATATATGTAACATAATTGCTTTATCTTCCTGAAGGTATGGACAGTATGCATTCTGTTCTGCAATTATTACGGTCGACAGGAGAGGTTAGAACGAAGAGTTCCAATGGTCAGCTTGATGTCATATGTTTCAGTCTGCACGAGCAAATAAAGTTTTATGAGTCTTTTCCGGAGGTAATATGCATTGACTCAACGTATAAAACGAATAATTTGGGGTAGTTAATTAATAATAGTGTAATGTTTGAAGATTCAGTCTATTTCAATTAGTTGTAACTGACGGATGTGGAAAGGGTGCAAGTGTAATGTTTGCTTTTTGTCGGAGGGAAACTGTTGCAGATATTACACACGTTCTCAGGATGTTTCAGTCCATTATGGGATATACGGATGGCACTAAAACATTTGTTATGGATAACTGTCAAGCAGAAATTTCTTCGGTGAAGGAGGTATTCCCTCACTGCCGAATAATTCTTTCTTCATTTCACGTGCTTCGAGCCTTCGGTCGCAAGGTATTTGCGTAATAATAATTCCTACTGTGTTTTTATTCAGTTTCGTAATCCTGAACTACGTTATGCACTGGAAAAGCTGGTTTCCACTCGGATTAGACCAAAGTAAGTTATGCATGAAGCATAAAAATGGTAAATACGTAGGTTCTCATATTTCTATTGTTACATCCGTAATTCGTTCCCCCAAGCATACAACTTTTTAAGTGGGCATTGGATTAACACGAGGCACATGTGGGCTCGGTGTTTTTTCAGAAAAGCGCTCACTTTAGGCAATCACACTAACAACAGGGTTGAAATTGCTCACAGGTACTTGAAGCTGCATCTCCGAAGAAATGATCCCTTGTTGTTGACCTTATGGAAAGTTCATCATGTGTCCATAAAAAATTGGAGACTTCGGTCGTACGATACTCTATTTAAATTACAGAAATTTCGTCAGTTCAACGTAAGTGTAAATTTTCTCTTATACTATTTTATAGGTTCCAGAACCAATTCAAAAGCAACTGGACAAATTAACACCGTATGCTGCTAGGATTGTCTACCAGAGTTATGGACGTATTCACAAACTCAATCACGAGTTAATAAGCAGCAACATTATTGATTGTTTCGATGGAATGCAGGACCACATGGTTGATACTTCCACTGGAGTGTGCACCTGTCACCACTTCCATGATTTCCGTCTCCCTTGTTCACATGTCCTGTACGCCTACTATAAGGGATTGTTCACTGGAGGTAAGATAAATTGGTGTAATACTTACGTATTCAATTTTAGATCTATTGCAATACAGCCGTAGGTGGAGTAGAGAATACAACCTTAATGTTACCACGAGGACAATACAGCGAGTTAATATTACGGAATCTGATGTAGACGAATATGCTCAACGAGTGTGGCAGTGTCTTCAACGCCTAAAGAAAATAAATGCAGATATTGCGCTCGATGTCGTATCCAGACATTACAATGAATGTGAAAGCATTCTCAATGATCTGCTTCCGTCTGTTCAGTCGATGGATTGTGAATAGTCATTTCCATGTTAACACAGATGTTAACGTTTTGTGCAATATGAAATTGAAACAGTACTTCTGTGATGAATTCATTTTCAATCATGTGCAATTCAAAAGGGTACAGTTAGGAAAAATTAACATTAAAAACTTTTAAAGGTGGGTAACACATCCATACACCTGTCGACATTTTCCGTATAACTATGTTTATTTGTAAGCGTATACATGTATTTCAGAGTAACAAATGTTTTCAACTTAGTCATAAATCCGTTGGTTGCATTATATTTGCAATATACGTCTCAATGGAAGTGAGATTCTAAGGTACTTGATTTATTATTGTTACATTGCATAACATTCATTATTATGCTTACGTTTATTTTATTACAATTTGCAGTTCATCATGCGCAACAGAATTGCTTACAATGTAAACGGAGGGCTATGCCGGCCTATATAACCGAACTTTGGAAATTTGGAGACTTGGTGCCATCAAATTACCCACTAGAAGTCGACGTATCAGTTTTACCTTTTCTTATTATGTACATAATCTAATTGTGCATTGCAATAAAAATAAACCTTGCCTATAAGCAATCTTGTCTTTCATTTCACATATTCGCTTGGGTAGTACGGTATGTTAGACCGGTACTTCCTTAGGTAGGAACTTTCAAATGTACATAAGCTTAATCCCGTATTCCCGGAAATATTTCAGGTTAATTGTACTTACGCATTTGCATTTAAATCTAATGGATAAAATATATTTTGTGCGCCGTAGTACTATAGCGTCAGAAGCTCACTTTATTCTGCAGTACTTTGTTGCTGTTGGTTCCATTCAAAAATCCCTACAAATATCAAGAGAATTGTAAGTTATACCAACCAAAATAAAGCGCATTATCAGTAGAGAATCTCAATATTGTTAACATATATCTTTTCATATTCATTACTTTTACATACGCAGACATTTCGTTGTCAGTGTATACACTTGTACACGCTGAATGAATGTCTTCGTTGGAAATCACTTACACAACATGTGATACTTAAGGAGAAACTTAAGGATTCCTTTAGTGAAATGCATTCAGGTATTTCGTAGTCAATTTTTACTAAGTAAATATACCCTATCTGTCACTAGTAGTCCATTATCTTAGAACAATTTCTAAAGTGAATTCATCAAACAATGAGATAATAACTACGCCCTTACACAATCACATAGGCACTTTTACTTATGTAACGCTTGTCGTCATCAACCAAATTCAGTGACTGCTTAAGTGTTACTAGGAAATACAACTTATAACGCAGTATGTCACTGTGAAAACTGATATCCTGAATAAAAAATTTTACGCACAGTACGTCTTCACTTTAACATCACTTCTCACTGTGACAAACAACAAGCAGAAATAATAAGAGTTCATGAAAATTTTACAAATATTTCTATTAGTGAATACATGGATCATATCAAAAATATCTCATCAACCCCACAAACATGTTTTCTGCTTAACATAACTGGAGTGCATAAACACATTAAATGACTTGAGGAGTGAGAACAATAATCTGCAAAACAAGAATTACATAACTTCAGTTCAGCATTCATTACTTACCTAAGGATTTTGAAATACTGTACAAAAAGGTTATTAATTTGGCAGTTTATTATCACCACTTGATCACAGAAATTGACTTTCCACCTAGGAAATCTAAATATTATCATAAAATCAAAACTACACCTTTGTTCAACTCATTTCATCATCAGTACATGAAATGTGCCCCATTTACACAAACTAGGCAATATTTCCTTTCATTATTCAACTTTTCTATTAAGTATGACATTTAGTATGCATCACAGCTTGTAAATTATACGACAATACAGCAGTTTGTAAACACACAGAAAACTACCATTTTTCTCACTTTTTACACGTTTTTTCGTTAAAATACGATTTTTAAAATGCATTTCTGTCGAAAAAACCACTAAAAACAACGTAGAATAGCCCAAACACAACGCCACGATAACACCTTAAAACTGCAGAAATCAGCTGATTTGTGCCTCTATCCTCTACCGTCCAGAATTCTTAATGAGTTTTAAAACGGGTTCAAAATGGTTCATCATCAGTTGTCTGGATGCGAATGGTGTACCTCATAGCCCAAATGGCATGGGTTTAAACCAATACCTTTTCTAACCCTTAGTGAACACCATTTAATCTCCGTCCCTCTGTCCCATCGGCATCTGCCAATAACCTGACCACAGACCGATAACCGTAAACGAATTCGCGCTTAGTGGACGATCTGAGATTTCTATCACCATTGACGTGGCATCATGTTTCAATCTTTTCACATGCTTTAGTTGTCAGAAATCAACGCATAATCTGTACTTCCCATTTGTTTTTTCCGGCAAAAAGACTCAGCCTCTTCAGTGATGTCATCTTTTATCGTCTCCTTACTAGTCACTCAACTTCTAAATGACACGAGACTCTTCGTATTGCGAATGACGTCACTTTCCGACCCATCACTGGAATCTAATGCCTTACCTTATTACGATAACCGTAGGGATCCACATCTTCAGGGAATAGACAGTCATATTCCCTAACAAACGCTGCCGTATTATGTATTTTCGATGTTTTGATTCCTGTTATCTCCCTTGTCTTATATGCGCTGATAGGTCTATACAGACTTCTTCGTGTTAATTACCGCACTAACCTCCTGCAGGAAATCAGACCAAATCATTTTCTCTATTATTCGGACACAAAAATTAACAGGAAACTTACTTTGCGATCGCCAATAAGGACCCCACAGTTTGACACACCCGTGATGCTTAGTACCCGCCCATCTACTGTTTGAACTGTTAATAAACACAACTGGACTCTGTGAAATGGATTATTATCTATCAGTGAAGCGGACGCTTCTGCATCTATTAAACATACTACTTCTTTGTCATCCATGTGCGACTCAGAATACATAGCCCCCGCTCAATTCCCTCAACTCCTGCTAGTTTCATAGAGGAGAATTATGCGAATAAAATATTATTGCTGTTAACACAGATTATACTGTCTGAAAATCTTTGTCCTCCTTCTTTCTAGTCAGCACCTCCTTCAGTGCCGTCATTCGCTACATTCAAAGCATTGGTCTTTCCTGGCACTCATTCGTAGTGCTACTTACTACTTCACGCTGAAAATCTTCAGTTTTCTGTTCCTATTCGTCCGATTTCGGTACTTTATTGCGGCCGTTGTGTTGCTTGGTCACCAATATCCATGGGTTTCACAGCGATAAACAGTTGTGGTCACTGAGAAACATAGCTTGGAACACTCTCAATGAACTATGACTATTCATCTAGCGTAGGAAGCGCGCGACGACGTAGATTCTTCAGCCTTACTACCAAAACGAATGGGTCTATATTCGAGCTGATCCTCATGACATACAACTGTCTCACTGCTTCCCGACTGCCAGTCAAGCTGTCAGACTTCGCCATCAGTCGTTTAACCAGTACCTTCTAGGCGTCTAAATCACTTGAGCGCCCTAAGCTATCGCACGCCACCTTTGTTTGACCTCCACAGCACAGCTGTCTTTTGATCCTGGATGACAACCAACTCAGTGGCAGCATTGAAATCCTGTGAGAAGCTCCGTGTATCACTTTCTCTAAAGCAGTAGGCAACGAGACATTCACTGTGAAAAGGCGGAGAACTGAAATTAATGACGGAAGTTGTAACAAGCATTTTATTAAGGAAAAATGCACCATATTTCTAACTAAATTAAAAGTAACATCCTTCTCCAGACCAACCTTTTATTGATATTTTCCACCTATTACATAATTTATTTTGGATTCTTGTCACCATGCTTTTTCAGTAATATCCCATTTATCTAGGTGTATATTGTATTACGCAACGCATGCCAATAATTACAAATATCCACTCCCGTAGTTACGATTTGGTTTATGATCACAATCCTAATGTGCATACACAGTAATTATATATAAATGCGATTGTACAGTCAAGTGAATGAATTCACCAAAAGTAGACTCTTCGCTAAGCTGTTTGTTCTTATATTCATGTCTGGATGGGTATTTTCCGTGGACATTAAAAGTCTGCTAGGTCAACGGACAATAAACTCTCCCAATTGGCTAGAGTGCATCTGAAGGCTAAACAAAGGGATGAGTTTTCCAATAAGATTATTTCCTGATCACGACGACATTTCTGCCTCTAAAGCCACTGACCTAAAATACTGATTCTAATTTTTGGCCACCAGTCTGCATCTATATGGTACACACCACAGATATAGTAGGCGACAGGCTTATCAACTTTTCTCTGCCCAATACTAAATACTTATTTTCAGAGCAGGAAGATGATATATGTGTACAGTTTTGTCATCCAACCTCTAAGGTATCTCACTTTCCAGAGCCAGAAGTGTACAGCGGTCGTTGTTACTAAGTAGGATTCGTCGATGAACTACTGATAATAACACGATAGCGTGCCAAATGGGGCGGATGCTCAACCGCATGCCATCAGCCTAACCACTAGCTTTAAGCAGTGTAGTTCAGCTACCGATTTTCACTGTAGATACCTTAAGACTGATAATTTTGAGGCATTACTTGACGACAGTCAACTCGCACAACTATTTTGCATTTCTGGTGTTTACAGTGGAAATAAGGCTTCAAGCTTTTCAACGTTTCAGTAAAGCTGTTGATATTTTTTACGAAGTAGGGTCACCAACGTCACAACCAACCTCCTCACCTTTTCGGGTCTACTAACGGGCAGGTGAGGTTAAGGAGTGAGCTAGCCGGGAATCGAATGGAGACCTCCCACGTGGTTGGTAAGAATTTTTCCACTAAACCATCAACTGACACACCTTTCTTCAACGGTAAAGTAATCGAAATCAGCGTATGAACGACGTGGAAATTTCGTCAAAAAGGTATCAGTTTCATTTCTACCTTCAGCAATCAGCTTATTGGAGCTGATTCAGCTTTCCAAATAAGTTAAGTTGCCAGTATATTCAATCATTTTCTCACTTATTCTTAAAGTAGTTAACCTATATATTAAGTATGTTGACATAAAGAATCACGGTTACTTGAAATCAATAACAGGAATGCTTTGTTCTACATCAGAGACTTTAAATTCCCTATTTTTGAATGGAAATGTATGGGAACAGATAGTTTAGTGGAATCAATCGAACCTTCAACGATCAGTCCGTTTATCTGTGCAGGCTAAAACAAATGGTGGACTATGGGATTTTCAAGAGAAGAGAAGTTGGAAGCTTTGTTGTGGTGCGATTGTTTATCCCCATAACCTATTCATATCATCACTAATTAATACACCTTTCAGCTTTCTCCTTGCGTTATTTGAAGCAGTGTTACGAACAAACTGGCCAGAATTCATGTCTAGCAGGATAGATGGCCACCCGACAATCATGAGCGTTAATCCTATTTGAAGCCAGCTGGGAGTGAGCTTGAAGCCGTTTAAGCAACCTAAGTAACAGGTTTCCCTAGTCGTCTAGAGGTTAGGTTTCCTGGCTTTCATCCAGACTACCCGGGTTCGACTCTTGACACGGGGACATACTCTAGGAAACGAATTACTTAGGATGGTTGAACGACTTCGAGCTCATTCCCAGTTGGCTTCAAATAGGATTAACGCTCACGATTGTTTTGTGACCATCTATCCTGATAGACGTTAACTCTAGTCACATTACCTGATGACATGTTCTTAATACAATTAGATAATCAAACCACAACAAAGCCGCCGAGCACTTGTCCTTTGAAAATATCATAGTCAATTGCTTCAATCTGAACGGATTAACAAGGTGATCTTTGAAGGTACAGTTGATTTGACGAACTTCTATGATCCCCTACAATAGCGAAATTTCTAGTACAATCAAGCAAAGTTTAAGGTTAAATAGGTCAATATAACATAATCTTTCGACTGATTTGTTAATGATTTTATCAAACCTGGTGTAATAAATATTCAAGAGTCGAATGTTGAAACTCTGAGAATAGGAATTCATCTCCATACTTGATTGTTTATGTCACTCTCAAGAACTACCAATAAGGGATTTACTATTAACTTAAAAGAACTAAGTCATCTTACTAATTAAGATGAGAGTGTTGTAAACGTGTACATTGATTCTAATGAAAACAAGCAGAAATTTTTAGAGGATGAATTGCATGACTATCGCCAATCCTAACTGCTAACTTCACCAAGCTGCTTGAGTGGAATTCGAACGAGAAGCGATGAGTTGAGTATGCCAAAGCTGACAAGAAGCAGATAATGTGCTTAGGAAATGAATGCTTCTGGATAGTTGTGTAGCCAGCAGAAGATAATGACAGTGAAATAAATGACTGCTACTCAGAATGTAAAGGATGAACAATGACAATAATCTCAACTTCTAGGATTACATAACACTTTAGAGTGAAACTCATTGGTGTTTTCTAATAAACACTTCATGCGTATATTTTGCTCGTTTAATATGTGACCACTGTCTGTCTGTTTTCGACATAGAACTTTGCAAAAATGTGCGGAAGTTCAAGTCGCCACATTCCGTGTAGCACGCGAAGCAAGAGAAGAAAGTACAAGAAAAGCATAATAGAAACAGTGAGCAGAGGTGTGAGACGAAGGAGTAATAAAGAAATACAAAACAGTTTCATTGAAGGTCATAAGTCACAGGGAGTGGATGCATCTGCGCCACTGAGAACGATTTTGAGCCATGTCACCAATTGTTTCCAACCATTGATTTTTACCGTCCCGAGGACCCCAGCCAGGAAGCCAGTCTACACCTTTCTACGTGGCTTAGACCAACTGTTGTGGATTTCATTGACTGATGCCAAGTTTTCGTTTGACCGCCGCTAGCTTTTTTCCAGCCTGACCCTATATCCGCTAACATAGCTCGTCGAGGGAGGCGATGGCTTGGCATACGTAACACATGTCCTAACCATCTCAGTCTATGTGACCACTAATTAAATTATAATTATATTTCAATAGTTTACACACAATGATAAGTTTTTTGTTATTGCTAATATTTCGAGCAAAATTACTACTGCCCGTGATCATCACACCAACTGTTGACATTATTTTGTTTTTTAATTCACACTTTTATGATTTGTGCTCATACATATACAGTTCTTTTTTTTTTCATTCATTTTGTGTATCCAGAATTATATTCCAGGTTGTTGACAGTTGTGCTGCTGAGTCACCCTTGTTACATGTATCCAGTGTGACCTTAATGAACAGTATATTCTGTTATTAGCAGTCTCTCTTTCCATTTGTTCATAACAGATTTCAGAATACAACACAAACATTGTTCCAATCAATCGATAATGTGGTTTTTGTCTCATGAATTTACAGATATAAACGAATTTTTCTCGGAATTGTTGTAAGCTCATGTTCCTGTTGGTTGACCGTTAGAGTTAGGCGTTTATGTTCATTTACTCTTACTTTGAATGATCTGGACGTTTGACCCACATGTTTAGTCGGACATTTAGATTAGTTGGTTTAAATGTGGTGCGAATCCCAATATTTTTTAGGTTTTTTCGAATTGCCTCTGATGTACCATTTTTGTATGATATTGTGATTGTGTTTTTTTTGACTTTCTCCTTCTTGTCATTCTCTGGTTTTACCCTCTGTTCTTCTTCTGAGAGATTCTTTGATTATCACTCAGTTTGTCTACTCACGGTAAAACGAGGGTTAACAGAAGGTCTTGCAGATAGAATACATAGACTTACAACAACACCAGACGACCAGGGTAAAGAAATAAACGTCCTATTTAAAATCCAACTCGAAAACAACTACCCAAAAGAATTTATCAGAGGTAATATAAAAAAGAGGATAAAACCGGAGAACTGAAGGTCATCCAACAGGAACACCAGCTCAACAAAATTTAGGAAAAAATCGCCTATAGCTACACATGCATTAGACAAAAACCACAATATTGATTGAAACAATGTGTGTATTCTGAAATCTAATATGAACATATGGAAAGAGAGACTGCTAATAACAGAATATACTTATTGAATTGAATTCTTGATTTTCCCGTCGATTGATTGGACCGAAGTGCTCGGTCTCAGGTTGACATGTCGGCTTCTTGTGCAGATGCTTCGACGATGTCTGGGGGTTTTATTTGTATACAATTGGTAGATGGTGGCTAGCAGTGGAATCCAGGATGCGCATTTCGTCCTATTTGGGACTCGTCATCTGGATGTACCTGAATTTCTCAGTGAGTGATGATGTTCCCACCGAGGCTCGAACCCAGTACCCATAGTTTCAAACGCCAAGGCGTTATGCACTAGACAACTTGGGCCACGAGAGCCACCTCTTGTGCGACGGGTCATATTAATTATTGAATTGAATTCTTGATTTTCCCGTCGATTGATTGGACCGAAGTGCTCGGTCTCAGGTTGACATGTCGGCTTCTTGTGCAGATGCGTCGACCGTTGCACAAGAGGTGGCTCTCGTGGCCCAAGTTGTCTGGTGCATAACGCCTTGGCGTTTGAAACTATGGGTACTGGGTTCGAGCCTCGGTGGGAACATCATCACTCACTGAGAAATGCAGGTACATCCAGATGACGAGTCCCAAATAGGACGAAATGTGCATCCTGGATTCCACTGCTAGCCACCATCCACCAATTGTATACAAACAGAATATACTGTTCATTAAGGTCACACTGGATACATGTAACAAGGATGACTCAACAGCACAACTGTCAACAACCTGGAATATAATTCCGAATACAAAATAATGAATAAACATAAAAATGAAATATACATCTGTGAGCACAAATCATAAAAGTGTGAATTAAAAAACAAAATAATTTCAACATTTAGTGTGATGATCACGGATAGTAGTAATGTTGCTCGAAATATTACCGAAAAATAAAAACTTATCATTGTGTGTAAACTATGGGAGTATGATTATAATTTAATTGATCTATTCCACAATGCTCAAATGGTTTCCTGACATTAAGATGACCACTAGGTAGGTAGTGTATCGATGATAACTGGACTGTATCACAAAGCTGAATCTGTTGAAAGATACCAACACGATTGGTTACACCTCTGCTAATACAGACTAACAAACATGGGGAACTCTATGCGGAAAACATTCCCTTACTTCATAATTTATGAAATATGCTTTACGTATAAATATTTGGCATGTAAGAAAAAACACAGGCAAGCACACGTGAAAGTACGAAGTTATAAAAATAACAACAAATAATACACAAAGAAGTAATAAAACACTAAATTTTTCTGAAAAAACAAGCAGTAAGATCATACAAGAAGAAATCATATCTGCGTTGCTTTTTCTTATCGACAGCTCATCCTCTGCACATCCCCCGCCCGAATGTCACAGAGGTTATACAGAACAAAAAATGAAGCTATGAGGTATAACTGTTGAAAAGTGAAAGACGCATCCTTTTTATTCCAGAGTATTCTGTGTTGACTTGAAAGTATAGCAAGCCTTGTAGATTCAAACATGTTCAGTCGAAACAATATCACCATATATCCTGAAAAAAGGGGGAAAATATTCGGTACAAGATGAAATCTCTATATTATACAGAAAAATGAATTAGAGTAAAGAAATCCAACTGTGTGTAGAAGAAATATAACAGTTTATATTTACCGGGCTTATTACCGACTGGGTATCGAACTCTAAGCGACAAAGTTAAAATTAGTCACAATGTGATAAAACAATCATTAAATGTTGTATGATTACCATCAACTTTATGCTCAGTATTTACAAGGTACGCTTGGAAAAACAGAGCTACGAATGTGCATTGGCGGCACAACGGTTAGAACGCTCATTAACTATGCATATGTTCCGGGGTTCGATTCCTAGCCGACGCACATTTCTGATATCAATGGTCGGTCTGCTGAGTTTAGGCTACCGATATCAAATGCGGGAAATTCCATACTTGTACCAAAAATACTGTGTGGAATGAATATAAAATAAATAAATTATAATGATCAGTTTAAAACTGGCGAAAAGTGCAGCTGACTCCAGTGACACTCCTGTTTATTTTCTTATTCTAAATCCTTATTTGTATTATGTAACATCACGTAGTTAATCAATGTACTGCAATTTCTATTTCTTCCTTCTATTTGTGAAAATTTACAAGACGATGAATGCTTTTTTGATTGTACATGATAAGCGGACTATCACTATGTTATTTCGCTTGGGACACCTTTCGGTGACCATGTTGTACGAAGTTTTTATTCCAAATGAACAAAAGGTAGTAATCTAGAGCAATATGTTATGACTCTTGACATAAGATAATTCTGGAAATTTCTCGACCTGGATATCTGTTTCATCCTTGTCTGGGATTCTTTAACAGTACACGCACGTATGACCCTACTAAAGATCACAATCCAGAACCTTCAATTATATTAACTGATGATGTTACGAGCACAAACTATTGCTCATAATCATATCAAGTTGATATGAGCAATAATTTGTGCTCGAAGTGTGGTTATCAGTTAATATAACTGTACAACACTGTATGATTTATCAAAATAAAATCTTATCCATAATGGAGTTATACTCTACCACAGTGTCCAAGTTTTATACTTATATCCAGAACCTTCAAGTTGCAAGTTGATCTTGTTGACCACTATTCAACTACTGCGATGCAATTCAATGATCTATGAATTCAAACTTCTAGAAGACAAAACGATTGAGTGAAGAAATATTGACTTTTCAGGTAGATCTTCATCTCAGGATTTACTCTAATATACACTTATCGCATCTTTTAACAAAACATAAAATTTTACCAATCAATTATTGCTATGTTTGTTAACAATACTTATTAGTCAGCATCAACCTGTCTAGGATCGGGGTGGTGGGGGACGAGACAATTTAGAAAATCAAAACAAGTGATTCAGCGAAGAGACTCTTTTCAACGAATTTATCATCAAGCTGTACAGTCGTATATATATGGTTTTTCAGAAGTTATATCCAGTGAGGGAATTGAATCTTAGGTGTGAATGCATAAAATAATAATAATAATAATCATATGAAGTTCAATTAAAACTAAAATGTTTGTGATTATAATCGTAGTTAAATGTCAAGTGGCAAAGCAGATTAATGTCATATATAGAATAATTCATAGGAGGGATAGAACTTGAAAAAGGATGTGCAATTATAGGATTAGTAGGCAAATCGAATAAAACAAAAACGTTACGTAATATTGTGTGAAATTTAATAGCATAGAATTTATCGTTGTAAAAAAGAATTGATTTAGAATGACAAATGGACGAAGTGAAGTAATACCGGGGACAGTTCAAAGTGAGAATAGTAATAATAACAATTGACTTAATAAGGAAGAACTGTCCCCGGTATTATTTCACTTGTTCCACTTGTCATTCTAAATCAATTCTTTTTTACAACGATAAATTCTATGCTATTAAATTTCACACAATATTACGTAACGTTTTTGTTTTATTCGATTTGTCTACTAATCCTATAATTGCACATCCTTTTTCAAGTTCTATCCCTCCTATGAATTATTCTATATATGACATTAATCTGCTTTGCCACTTGACATTTAACTACGATTATAATCACAAACATTTTAGTTTTAATTGAACTTCATATGATTATTATTATTATTTTATGCATTCACACCTAAGATTCAATTCCCTCACTGGATATAACTTCTGAAAAACCATATATATACGACTGTACAGCTTGATGATAAATTCGTTGAAAAGAGTCTCTTCGCTGAATCACTTGTTTTGATTTTCTAAATGTTACAATGGGAATTTTCCATGAATTAAAAAATAGCAAAGACGAGACAATTAACGAAGAAAATTAATACGAATAATTAAAGGGTATAAATAGTTATAACAAATGGATCGCATCATATATAATTTTGGAAAAACGAAGAGTCACCTTTTATTCGTCTTTATAACTATGTGGAATCAAACAAGAATTGTATCCATGTAAAATTACGTATTTAAATGATATTGTACATCTGCTTTTGAGAGTGAAATCGCCGAAAAGATAGATTTTCTATAGTTCAGTTTGTAAGGGGTAGTTATGTTTTTTGCGAGTTGATCACGGATTGATATCAGTTACAGAACCATTGACATCAATCTGTGGTCAAACTCGTATAAACAAATCTAATCCATACAAATCGAATTCTTAAAAATTAATCTGATGCTCGCTAGTGACTTGCTACAGGACGGAGTTTCCTGGAGTTCCAGTGAGAAGTCATGACGAGTGAGGTCCAATTAGATGTCACGTGTGAGGATGGATGTCCCACCAACGACAATGGTTGGGGTCGCGCTAAATCACGAACTGGTAGAAGTTAGAAGTCATGAGCCATTGAATCGGCTCCCAGTGGCTGAATGGCATACGAGCTTGCCTTGTAACCCAAAGACCCTGGGTTCGAACCCTGGTTGTGGGTGCGTACTGCCGATGATTACCAAACCAGGATGAAACAACTGTCAAGTACTCTAGTGCTGGTTTTCAATGGTTGTCTGACTGATATCAATACGTGATCAACTCGGAAAAAAAGGAGAGATATTTTTGCTGAACTTTGTGTTCTCTTCTTTCTAATGTCCTAATGGGTATTTTCCACAAGCTCTATTTTTTAGCGTACCTTATAGACAATGAGCATAAAAATGATGTAAATCATACAACATTTAAGTTATTTACCGCATTCTGAGTAATTTTAGTTTTGCCGTCTGGAGTTCGATACCAAGCTGTTAGTAAGCCCTAAAAACAGGGTAGATTAGGCGTGGGGTTAGCAAACTCACACCATACAAACAACAAAAACACTACTAAAACTTGAAAGCTTAAAGTCCTATACTCCACTCAGAAGGCGAAGGTACGAGAGAAAGACAAACTAACATAAAGTATGCAATTCAATTTTAGAATTTCCTGTCGATTGATTGGACAGAAGTGCTCGGTTTCCAGGTTGACATGTCAGCTTCTTGTGCAGATGCCTAGACGATGTATGGTTATTTAACTTGAAGTCAACTGGTGGATGGTGATTAGCAGTGGAATCCAGAATGCGCTTTTCGTCCTACTTGGGATTCGTTAGCCAGCTGGATATACCTGCATTCCCCAGTGAGTGATGACGTTCCCATCAAGACTCGAACCCAGTGCCCATAGTTTTAAATGCCAAAGCGTTATCCAATAGACCACTTGGGCCACGAGAGCCACCTCTTGTGCAACGGGTCATATTAAATATTTAATACAATCTTGGGTTTTTCCATCAATTGATTAAACCCAAGTGCTCGGGGTCAGGTTGACATGAGTAGCAATAATAATAATTATTATTATTGTTCCCTTGGGTTCCTAGTGGAAAATACGGCTTCAACTGCATGTCTCCACTTGCTTCTGTCTTCCTTCTACTGAACTTTTCACCTGCATCCATGTTAGTCCATACTGTCTCAACTCCTCTTCTCACACGATCTCCTCCATGTCACCCTTGCACTGACGTCCCACTCGCCGCTTCTTTTTCGGCCTGTTTCCACTCGAGCAATGGCCTGACGCGCGTGCGATGTCACCCAGCGGCCCGGCCTCCTCAGCGAGTGTCCAATCCATCCATCTCCACTTTCTCCTGCATATTTGTTGGGCGATTGGTTCTTGTTTTGTTTGTTCTCTAGATTGCTAGCTAGCTAGTTTTCTAGCCGGTCCCAAGCCTGGATAAAGAGGGAGGGTTGGGGCGTGGTGTTAGCAACTCCACCCCAAAACTTAACCAAATCGCTACAGAAACTTCAACGAATAAATATATTAAAAATTCTAAAAATATAAGCAATAATATTACTAATACCACTACTAATAATAACAACTCGATTATGGGATTCGTGATTATTTGGATTAACTTAGTTTTACTTGTTGGACTTAGAGATGAACCAAAATAATTTTGACAGGTAATTGAAAACCAAGGAGTATTGAACAGTTGATGTATCCTATTTAGTGACTTGTAGCTGTGCGCTCACGCACAACTCCATCAGGGATCGAATCTAAGACCTTTAGTTTACAGGACCACAATCTAAATATCAATATCCAACTGACTGATGGCTAATAGATGAATATCTTGAAGCTGTAGAAAGAATTTGTGACCACTGGGATGTCTATTATGTCCACGAAGGTAAATTAGATGTCCATCGAAGGAAACGAAATTGAAGTTGGCACTATATATCATGAGTTAACAAATTTAGAATTCAGGGGTCATCAAATCCCGAGTCAAGAGTGACTGAATGGTCAACGAGCTTAATTGCATGACCTGAAGATCATAGGTTCGATCCCTGGTGGGGGAGTCATGTGTGTGCACCGATGAAGAGTCTCAAAGTAGGACGAAACAGTTCACCAGTACCCTTCGATTTTTAGTGATCTCTCTTCCTCTCTCTCTCTCTCTAAATCATGCTGCTTCGTGATGAAATCTAAGAACTGAAACTTGAAATAATAATAGTAATATTGTGTAATCCACATTCGAAATATAACAAAAATGTTAACCAAAAACAAAACGATTTTACTTACCAAGGTTATAGGACAATTCATGAACAAAATTGAAATTTTCTATAATACTTATTCATATATACAACAGGCAGTAGAGATAGACCAAAAAAGCCTATATTGGTCAGTGTATATCCACAAATATCTGTCAGATAAGCAGCTATTGTACTGAAGAGTAATTTGCCTAAAAGTTCTGCTGTACTCAATATTGTATAGTGAGTTGCTTGATGCTCTGTAGACGTTTCACTGCGTGTACAATACATCATTAATGTGAACATAATTGTTGTTATAGCCCCACTGGTAAATAATATACAATTCATAAATAAACAACCTATGCCTTGAATTAAAACACGTGAAAGAAAGAAGATAAAACAAGCGTTTCGAAGTGATGACGTAAGTAAGAAGATACAATTAAGTAACACTTCACTGCAGTATAAAAAAGAGGCATTAGTTAAATGATTGTTCAGACGACACCACTGAAGAAAAAACACGACAACTTACCAATTCTATTGTGGAGAAAATTTGTTCTGATTAAAGTTTCACAGTGTTTGTTATACAGTAATATTGTGGTGAAAGTTGTCTGCCAGCAAAAATTGTAGACAACAATTTACGTCACTGTTCACGTCCCAAATTAGGGTCATGAGAAAAAACGCAATAAGAAAGCTTAACCTTGTGAAACTCACCAACCAATCACAGCAGAATTAACGTGTGCAAATACGATTCGCAGATATATGGCTTAACTTTCTGAGAAACGGCTACAAGCAGTACAGAATAACCTTCAGGAAGAAAACAACCAATCAGAAGCCGTTGTTTCTCTGCTAACAATAACACTAATAATGTATACCAAAATCCATAAATATCTCTTGATTTTCTCAATATATGATCTGTTGCCTGGCTCATGTTTTCTGTCGTTACAATATTTACTGAGATGACGACGTTTCGAGCACAATTTAATTGCTGTTCATAATCATATTAATTTACTCACACTAATTTCTGAATCCACTATTTCTCATATCTTGATTTGATTGGTAGTAATACTCTGACATAACTAGTCTTTACACTAATATACCAATCAGTATGGCTGTAGAAGCAGTTAAAAGAGAACTGACTTCTGATCCTGAACTTATTCATAGAAAAGAGCTACCCGTTTCGAAAATAATTTTAGGAATTCAGTTATGCCTCAAATCTACTATTATGGATAAGATTTTATTTTGATAAATCACACAGTGTTGTACAGTTATATTAACTAATGATGTTTCGAGCACAAACTATTGCTCATAATCATATCAAGTCACTACTCACACAACTTGTTTTTTCTTTCATTTATATACATGTGTGGAATCGATAAAAGTTAGTGGACATAATCAAACGGGTCCATATGAGGAAATTAAGAGGCCTGTAGATACAATAATGAATAAGGTTAAGAAACCTACAGAAGAACTAATACGCAAAATGAAGCCGTCACTGGGTGACTCTAAATGGTTTAATTTAATGTCTAAAACTAATAATGCTAGTAGAATATATGGTACTATAAAAATACATAAGCCGGGTTACCCCATAAGACCAATAGTAGATTTTAGAAATACCCCCACGTATGAATTATCAAAACACTTAGCTCTAATACTATGCCCCATTAGAAATCGTTCAAACTCTAGACTAACTAATTCATATGAGATGAAAAATAAAATAAGTGACATTCAACAAGCGAATGATGCAACAATGGTTGGTTTTGATATAACTAGTCTTTATACTAATATACCAGTTAATATGGCCTTAGAAGCAGTTAAAAAAGAATTAACTGCGGGTCCGGAACTCAGTCATAGGACAAAGCTGTCCATTGAAGAAATTATTTTAGGGATTCATTTATGCCTCACATCTACTATCTTTAAGTTCCAAGGCAAAATATATAGACAAACAGAAGGTGAAGCAGTGGAATGGATCTTCAATATCCCCTATCGTAGCAGACATATTTATGGACAGCTGGGAAAATAGTGCCCTCAATACATTTAACCCTACTCCGAAAATATGGTGGAGATATGTGAATGACACTTTCACAGTGTTAAAAACAGAACATATCTCTCTCTAGCTTCTTGACACATATAAACTCACAACTAGAGGGAATAAAATTCACATTTGAATCAGAAGATGAACAAGGAGAATAAGCTATGATGTTAGATTGTAAGATAAAAAGAATAGAAGAAGGCAAACTACACACTAGTGTTTATAGACAACCAACTCATTCTAATAGATATTTAGACTTTAATTCGTCTCATCCGTTAACTGTTAAGGCAGGCTTAGTAAAGTGTCTAACAAACCGAGCAGTTGCACTAAGTAGCACAAGAAGAGACCTAAATGAAGAAATAAAACAGATAGAAGAAGCGTTGGTGTTGAATAACTATCCTATAAAATTCATTAGGAAGATCAGCAAAGACCAAAGACAAAATGAAAATAATTGTGGAACTAGTAATGATAAAATAAATAAGAGAGAATATAAGTCATCTACTGTTATAACCATATAGGGGGATGGGGACATCTGAGGCCCTACGTAGGATTCTTAATAAAGCAAGAATTAGGGTGGCATTCAAACCTAAAAACTCACTCAGAGACAAGCTCTGTAGGCTAGAGGACTCAGTGGACCCAATTTAACAAAATAATATAATTTACAAAATATCTTGTGATGACTGTGAGATCAACTACATAGATCAAACCAGTAGACTGGGGATAGTCAGATTATCAGAACATTTAAAATTTAGCTATGTGTAGAATGATTAACCTCGAGAAGATCCTCGAGGGTCCTCGCTAGGGTAATCTGGTCGTGTGCTACTGATAAGATTTATCAGTAGTACATAAAGAGACGTTCATCGACCGGCATAAAAACATCACATAGCAAGGTGATAAATTTTGATGTCACAAAAAGCAAATGATACAGCGTTGTAGAGGTACATGGGAGACGTGAAAGACATACAAAGAAACACAGTATTGAAGGCCAAAAGTAGCAATCACAGTATGAAACATCTGTACAAATGGTGCGTTGAAAATAAGCTGTACATAATTTCGCTAGTTAGCGATACAAAATTCCAAATAAACATTCATTTATCAAGAAGTTTTTCGTCTTCTACCGTTAAAATGTGGGTGGGTGTGGTACTGCTGAGAAATGTAACACTAGGGCGAAATAGCTGTTCAGTAATCTCCAGTCGTTTATCATGGTCCTCTGAATAAGATCCCTTTATGCCTTCACTTGAAATCGATTAAATCCTTATAAACGATCGCTTGTAAGCATAATTAATTGCATTAGAAAGTTGACTGATTAAGCCAATGAGTCATATCGCACTGCACAAACTGTTCATATTATCGATTTTTGTAATAATAATAATAATAATAAATGCTGATTTATTGGTAAATAAGAAAACGAAAAATGACTTACCGAAAGACACATTAGGCATACTCATCCAAATTGAGTTGAAAGCAATCAATAATATAGGGAATTGTAGGCATAAACGAATTGTCATAAGGTAGAGAATGGAAATTAACGGAGATCTATAGTAATAAAGAGACAAGGTTTTAGACAAAACATTACTTATAATACAGAATGGAATTCTCAGTATTTGTCACAATATTCCATCTGATTTACTCAAAATATAAATAAAGTTAAAAATTAAAACAAAAGTAACCAGAGAAATTTGTCCACATCTACGGTATAAAGTCAAAAATATTCCAAGTACGAAATGAGAATAATAAACATAGGAATAATAACAATAACAGTGAGTTTGTTTCAAACAGTATTGTCCATTCAGTTAGGAAATTTTAGCGTGTTACTATAGAGTAATGAATCTAATGTTCTGTTGATATGGCAGTATGTTGAGGGGAAAGACAAAATTAACAGTCGCTACACAGCTTAAATGATGTTCACACTCTGGAAAAAATAAACAAATTAAGACAAAAATTCAGAGGATTATGAATATAAGAAGTACAATAACAATAAAGGTTGATGTTGTAAGGGTGGGTGAAATGGTTTATTTAGTAGGGCAAAGAAGGTTAGTTAGTTAGTTAGTTAGTTCATGCCTGACACTACTTTCATCACATGAAATACGTGCCGCTAAATATGGTATAGTGGAATTTTCACACTTAGACGTACGTGTATAAAGTCTTCTAAAAAGACTTCTTTTTTTTTCTAAAAGTGATGAGAGAGACTTATGAGCACTATTGTTTATTACTGTTACTAGTATAATAATGCCAAGTTTTGATATGAAAAGTATCCTACTTCATGGAAACTTCCCATTGTGACATATAAAAAATCTTCAGGTATTGGTTTTAAAGAGACTTTGTTTGATTGAGCTGACATCAGTTAGAGATCTGATGCTCACTAGCGACTGACCGTATTCAGGCAGTTAACCTGGAGTTCTAGTGGGAAGTCGTGATCAATGGAGTACAGCGGGTCGAAGGTGAGAACAGTTACTCATCGACGAAGACATCGCGAGGTGGTCGCGCTATGTCGTGAATTGGGAGAAGTTACAATTCATTGGCCATTGGATCCGCTGGCCCCAGTGGCCTAATGGTATACGAGCTCGCTAGTCTTATAACCAGGAGGTCCTGGATTCGAGTCATGATGGGTGCGTACTGTTAAAGAGTCCTAAACTAGGACGAAATAGTTGTCCAGTGCTCCCTGGTGGTTTCCCGATGATGGTTCCCTAACTCATGTCAGCTCATGATGAAATCCTCCAACATATAAAAACTCAAAACAAATGATTCAAAGAAGAAACTATTCTCAACAACGAGTTTATTATCAACTTGTACAGTCGTATATATATATGTGCGTCGGTGGCACAGTGGTAAGGACTCTCGCCGACCATGCACATGGTCCGGGGTTCGAGCCCACACCGACGCACACCTGATATCTATGGTCGGCCTGCGAATTTTGGGCTACCGATATCCACGCTGAAAATTCCACACTTGTACCAAAAATACGGTGTGGAATCAAGATGTAATCAAAAATATAAAAAATATAAAATATAAATAAAAAAATATGAGTTTAAAAAAAAAATTATATCCGGTAAGGGATAGGTGTGAAAACATAAAATAATAATAGTAGTAGTAATATGAAATACAATTAAAATGTTTGTGGTTATAATCATAGTTAAATGTCAAATGGCAAAACAATTAATGTCATATGTAGAATAATTCCTAAAATTTGAAGATGTTGGAAAGGGGTGTAAAAATTATAGGATTAGTAGGCGAATAAAATAAAACAAAAACCTTACGTAACATTGTGTGAAATTTGATAACATATAATTGATTTAGAATGACAAGTGGAGCGAGTGAAGTAATACCTGGGACAGACAGTTCAGAGTAGGGATAGCAATAGTAACAATTTGCCTCAGTAAATTTTGTTCGGAACCTTGTTATCCAGTAAATAATACTGTTTCACTGTGTGATATATCCGATAAACAAACTAATATAGAATTATTCTTTTTGTTGAATAGAACCAAAGATTGATTCCAATCCCAGACAATCATACTTTTACTACCTTTGGACCATTTTGTGACTGTGTGTGTGTCTCAAGGAAGTTTTGGATACCTATACCGTAGGATGCAAAGATTGGCACCTCGGCATTTAGACCACGACGAGAGGGTTTTATTTATTCGCGGCACATACATGCACTCCACTCCATGAAACCTATTGGTTGCTGATAACGTTTTCTAAACAAAACAGAATCATCTAATAAACATGAAGTTAAGGATAAATCTTTTAGAAATAGCTAGAAATAGGCATAACTTCTATCTAAAAACAAAGATAGTTGACTAAATAACTTTCACAGTCGATACTAAAAACGTATGTTATTTTGTTCTCAATCATTTGCATAAAATCAGAATCCCATTTTCAAGGGAACGAATCAAATCTATCACAAAAGCAAAATAAAAGAAGCAGGCACGTGAAGACAGTGAAGATTAGAAGTCCATGAAAAATTCCCATTGTAACATACATAAAATTAAGACAAGTGCTTCAGAGAAGAGACTCTTTTCAACACCGAATTTATTATCAAACTGTACAGTCGTCTATATATATACATATATATATATATATATATATATATATATATATGGTTTTTAATAAGTTATATGCGGTGAGCGAATTGAATCATAGGTGTGAATACATGATATAATAATACCCGTATGAAATACAATTAAAATGTTTGCGATTATAGTGAAGTGATAGAACATGTTGACCACTTCACCTATTTGGGAAGTTGTATTAGCACCAACGGACTGATTGGCGATGAAATCTCAGCACGGATCCGAAAAGCTCGAGCTGCTTTCGCTGACTTACACCATCTCTGGCGTAGGCGTGACATCCGGTTATCAACCAAGGGACGTGTGTACTGCTTAGCAGTCCGCTCCGTCCTTCTTTATGGCTCTGAAACATGGCCAATACGAGTTGAAGACATGAAAAGGTTGACTGCTTTCGATCATAGATGTCTGCGATCTCTTTCTCACGTTAGGTGGTTTCACAAGATAAGTAATGTTGACGTTAGGCGTAGAGTGTTAGGCAAACAGGGAAAATCAATCGACGAGGCTATAAAGTTACATAGATGGCGTAGAGATGGCTAGGTCACGTGCTGCGCATGCCTAACCATCGCCTCCCCCAACGGGCATTACTAGCTGATATAGGTGCAGGTTGGAAAAGAGTAAGTGGTGACCAAATACAAAACATGGCCTCATCAATCCATGAAATTCTTGACAGTTAGACTGAGTCAGGTAGGGGGATGCAGACTCCCGGGTTGGGGGCCTCGGGACTCTAGGAATCAATGGCTGGAGACGATAGGTGACATGGCTCAAAGTGATCGTTGTCAATGGCGCAGATGTATTCAGTCTCTGTAATCTTTCATATTCCTTTCTACCATTACCCATTCTGTTTCACTCTTATACTTGTCAAACTCTATTGATTCTCTTCACTCATCTTCTTGTCTACCTCTGTGTGCTATTTGGGACGTGGCAACTGGAACTGGTGCACTTCGGTGCCAAGTTCTATGTTGAATCCAGACAGACAGACAGATTATAGTCATATTTGAATATCAAGTGGCAAAACAATTAGTGTCATATATAGAATAATTCATAGGATGTATAGAACTTGGATGGGGTGTGAAATGATAGGATTAGTAGGCGAATCGAATAAAGACGTTGCGCGACATTGTGTGAAATTTCATAGCATAGAATTTAACGTTGCAAGATAGAATTGATTTAGAATGACAAATGGAACGAGTGAAATAATACCGGGGACAGATCAAAGTGAGAACAGTAATAGTAACCATTGACGTAATAAAGGAAGAGTATACAAATTGAATAGACAAAATGAAAAAAAAATTTGGTAGAGCCAAAATATGATTAGCCTAGAAGGAATAAGACCATGACAGTTGGAGGGGTTGAACAAACTACTTTCGGTACACAGAGATCTGGCTTTTCTGTTTCGATAGCCAAAGCTTCAGCAATACAGATGAGTCGAGTACGTAGGGATTTCAGTGAATTACTCTTTGCCTTGTAGTTTACTTTAAAGGCGGAGGCTATAGAGATAGGGTGATCATTATCGACCAGATGTTTAATGATCGCGCTTCTTATCGCTCTACTTCCACCTCTTCGTAACAATGCAGAATAGTGTTCTTGCACCCTCTTGAACAAAATTCAAGTCGAAAGACTGATATACCTAACTCCACACGAGCAGGTGAACTGATAAACACACATAGAGTTGGTCAACAGCGGGATCTTGTCCTTCAGGTTGCTGAATAGTGATGGTCGGCTAGTAAAGGCTATTTTCAGAGATGCATCAGGGAATGTTCTTTTCAGCGACTGTGAGATCCTTCTTTTAATGATGATATCGGAAGTTAAACCACCTATGAATTTCAAGCCCACGTACAGTATTTTCTTGGTTACGGATGATAAGTCGCATTTCACATTTTTGTCTATAAAACGTGTCAGAAATCCATTTTCTTAAAAAGATTTAACTCGTCCTCCACAGTATCAGGACTACATAAGTGCCGAAGGCGAGTGGCAAGCGACCGGATTAGGTCTCGTTATTGACCAATGGGTATCCAGCTGTAGAAATTTGTCAGTTAACCATTCCATGACAGCTTTCTAAGCATCGATCTCTTCAGAGTTCCATCGGTCCTCTGTGATAAGTTCACATCGAGAAAATGAATACTACTGACAAAAAAACACACGGTAAATCCATCGAAAAACAAAAGTTAGATGATAGCCTTATAATCACTAGAATGGTGTAAATGGGATGGTAAGAACCAATTGCTGATTTTCGGACATATAGTTCGAAAAAGTTGGCAATGGCAGAGATGCATTTACACTTTGGAGACTCCCAGATGTATTAAATCCTTATGTCCCTCCTTAACACTATCCAACCTGGCTAGAAAAATGAGAACGAAAACGTGTGTATAGTTCAGTGACAGAACATCTGGTCAATTCAGGACATTCAGTGCCATTCGAAAAATCCTTCAAAATAATATACAATATTCAATAGAACCTATCAAAGGATGTAAAATTAAGACATTTGGGCATAGCCGAGGCACTAGCCATCCAAAAGCTCAAACCCGCGCTATCTATCCAAAAGAAATACGTCCAACCCTTGTCCCTGCCTTGGCCATCATAAGCAGGTAATTCTTTTATTAGTGACAATCGCATTACCTTTCTTATCCAAGCTTCCTGTTTATTCATTTTATTTTTAACTTTTTTCTTAATCCCTAGTTACACTGACATATTTTCATATCTGAACTTCCCTGATTGCAATTATTCGTCACATTAGTTATAATCCCACTAGATTTTTTATCCAAACATCCTGTCTGACGCCCCAGTTGCACAATATGTCAATCTTCTCGGTAATTATGATGCTACTTTTGTTTGAGTTGTATCCGTCCCCCTGTTTATTATGGCATTTTAATCCCTAATTGTAATTTTTATTCATTTGACCCTTAACCGGAAATTATTCTGGAGTGTTCCCATCCATTTATTATAAATACACGAATCTACAGCTCTATCTAGTTGATAACTTCGTCGAAAAGAAAGTTTTTTTCGCTGCAACTATCTTTTTATTATTCCCTATGATCAAATGTACATATTCCTTAATTTCTTTACTCTGTCACTCTCTCGTGTCTACCCTTGTATGATACATAGAGTATAACAACTTGATATATGCTACACTTCTGTGCAAAGTTCTACATTGAAACATAGTCGATCAGTCAGACGGAATCGTAACTCAGAACAAAATAATCCATAGTATAGAGTCAATTCATTTAGCTTAGAGACTACAGAGACATTAGTCCGTAAACAGAAGACTGAAAGAACATGGGGGATTAGATAAGGGAGCTTCAGTAATTTTACCAATCAGCATATTTTTCGTGTAGCGTTTATAGATCTATTCACGTGTAGAATGATTATTCCTAATGAAGGAATTGACAGATGAAGCAGAAACGATAGGATGCTCACCAACCACTCAGATGGTTCCTGGTTCGATCTCAGGCCACTGACTCCCTCTTTTACCTCGTTAAACCAGGAATAAGACTGGTAAAGAAGGAAGGTTGAGCATGAGACTAGCAACTCCATCTGATAAAAACAAACACCTCTGCTACTGAAACTTAAAGCCTCTAGCTTGAAAGTCCCCTATGTTCCACTGGGAACATAAAGGAATAAAAAAGAGAAAGGATAAAACGATCTTTTTAAAAGCAACAGGAATAACGTCAAAGTTCGCGCTGGTAAATGACAGATTTAACACGGATATTGACAGGTATACTGAGAGATAGTTGGAGAATTTAACTGACTGACTGACTGAATCTCAACAAAGAACATTGTACAGAAGTCCGTCACTCCTAGATTCCAAACACACACACACACACACACAAACACCATATGGCACATGAACGTAGAGAATAGATAGAAAAAAGATATTCAAAGCAACTATAATGACCAGTGCGCACCCTCTTGGAGAGTTCAAAAAGTGAATGCATCTGCACCACTGAGAACAGTTTTCAGTTATATCATGAATACTCTTCAGATATGAGTCGTCAATGCGCCGAGGAACCCCCTATGTGGTTGATTCAAACCAACTATCAAAGACTTTATGGACTCATATAATGTTTTGTTTTGACTGTCCCTAACTCTTTGCTACCCTGATCAATCCTATGGTCAGTTAACATTGTTCTTCGAGAAAGGTGATGGCTACGCTGGCGTAACACATGTTCCAGTCATTTCAATCTATGTAGCCTCACAACCTAATCAACTGCTTCTCCCTGCTTACCAAGCACTAGACCGAAGCCTAACCTCAATATTACTCACCCTATTATACCATCTAACATGGAAAATAGAATGCAGACACCTGTGATCAAAAACAGCTAGCCAGGATTTTGACATCTTCAGATTCAACGGCCATGTCTCACAGCCAGTTATAGAGGACGATGGAGCGAAATGCTGAGCAGTATACACGCCGTTTGATCTATAGCCGATCGGATATCACATCTGCCACGCCAGAAATGACGTAAGTTGTCAAATGCCACACTGGCATTTTGTATCCACGCCGAGACATCATCAGCGATCAATTCACTGGCGTTGATGCAACTTTCCAAACAAATGAAGTGGTCAAAACACTGCCTATCTTTAAGCTAGGAACGAGTCGATTTAGTTCAGTCTAGTCCAGTCCTGTAGCATCATCTTATATTTGATAGGAGCAAGTCTCATGTCAAACATTCAAAGATTGCTGGTCAAGGTTGGTCATCAAGGAAGATGGTGGCTCAGCGTAGAGTTTAGCATCGCTTATTTTATTTATTTTTGATTACAGCTTGATTCCACACTGTATATTTGGTACAAGTATGAAATTTTCAGCACGTGATATCGGTAGCCTAAATTTTGCAGGCCGACCATAGGTATCAGGTTTGCGTCGTCAGGGGATCAAACCTCGGACCATGTGCATCGTCGGTGAGAGTCTTAACCACTGTGCCACCGACGTTTCATATTGCTACACACTTCAAAACAACACAGAAAGAAGAGGTGAAGTGTAACAGAACGATACCAGATATGTGTGACGCAAAAGGGAGTATTTTAATGGAAATTAGTGAAAATATATCAGCAGGATTTTGAGGATGAATGAACACACCTCTGCAGAAATATGAATTATTTAAATGAAGAAAATTAATCATCAACAACATGCATTCACCACCACCCACTGTGCAAGATCTATCCCATGATAATCAGATCCCTTAGTGTGCAAGTCACTTCTCATCTACCATACTGAAATTTTACGATTCACTGTTGTCATCTAATCATTCAGAATAATTCTCGACTGTTATTTTGCACGGATTTCATTGATTTTAAGTCGGGTCACAGATTGATATCAGTTTTAGAAACTCACTTAAAACTTCCAGTGAGTATTGGACAGCTCTCTCGTCCTGGATTGGAACTTTCCAATTGTAAGCAACCCACACCCCATTGGGGATTGAACCCAGGACCTCCCGGTTACAAAGCAAGCTCGTTGACCATTCAGTCACTGGGGTGGAATCTATTATTATTGTTGTTTCCCTTAGTTCCTGGAGGAACATAGGACTTCAGACGCACGTCTCCATTGCTTTCGGTTCTCTGCCGACGTTTTCACCTCGTTCCACGTCTGCCCACATTCTTTCATCTCCTCTGCACATGATCTCCTCCAAGTCACCCTTGGGCGACTAACTCGTCACTTCCTGTTCGGGTTTCACTCGAACAATGGCCTGGCGTGTGATGTCACTCACTTGATGGTTTGTTTTCTCAGGGTATGGCCAATCCACCCCCATTTCTTCCTGCAGATTTGTTGCACAATCAAATCCTGCTGGGTTCGTTCGCTCCCAGAGATCCCTCCCTGTTGCTAATCTTTCCTGTGTGGCCATCTGATCTTGAGTAACTTTGAGCGAAGACAGCTGTTGATAAAGTTCTGTAGTTTGCTTGAGGTGCTCTTCATGATGCGCCAATTCTCTGATCCGTATAGTAAGCAGCACTGACTTCATATTGGAGTTGGAAATCCGGATCTTATTTTCATTTTCATGCTGAGTAGTGCTGTTGATTTATACACGGACTTGAGAGAAATGAAAGCTTGCCTTGCTCTCCCGATTATCTCTTTAATATCCTCATCAGTTCCATCCTCCTGTAACTGAAACGATGCTTCCCAGTTAGGTGATTAGGTAAAGGAGGCTGCTTCTTTTAGATTTCTCCCACTTATGCTGGCTGATTGTTGTCTGTTATTATTGCTGTGGCTGTTGCTGTTGGCCGGGAATCTTCATCACCTCTGTTTTCTCTATGTTCACCTGAAGTGAAGTTCTATCTTTGATGCTCCTTCTATCGCCAACTTGTTGCTTTTCACTTGCATATATTCCAGTTTGTGGGAAATCAGACATATATCATCAGTGAAGTCTAGATCCTCCAAGTTTTTGTATGGGTCCATTTTAGGCCTGTTTCCTCGCTGCCCGCTGAATGTCGCATTATCCAGTCTACCGCAGTCAGGAAAATCATTGGAGATATTACGCAGCCAGCCTCGTCTTACTCCCGTCTTCAACTCGAAGGATTCCATGAGTTTCCCGGGGCAGAATCTAACAGCTAATGAATTCTAACTTTTGTCAATTCGTGATTTTCGCGCCACTACCAGCCAATGTCACCCGGCGTGTATTTGTACTGACACCTGACCTCGTGAATCCCAGTGGTCATGATTTCTCACTAAAACTCCAAACAACCTACTCTTGTAGTCAGTCGCTAATGAGCATCAGATTAATTTCCAAGTGGGTTTGATCCCCTGTGGAGTAAGGTGTGCGTACTCCTGATGGATCTCAAACAAAGACAAAACAGCTATCCAGTATTCCTTGATAACTTCCAATGGTTCTCTAACTGATATCAATTAGTGATGAGACTTAAGACTAACTCCGATAATTCTTAACACATATTGGGTATTCATCATTCCACTAGTGTCTTGTCTAAAATCCTGTGGAACAACTAGAAGCTTCACGAAAACTGATCGTCGCAGATATTCTATAAACAGCTAAAATTTGAATGTACAGCAATAAAGCACAGAAAGGAAGGTAGACGGTGAGTGTATCAAAGTTTGTTATACCACACTTTAAAATATTCCAACAGCATAAGCGCAATAGACCTACCTGAAATACTTTTGAATATAATGTCCACATGTAGAACCAGTAATTGATGCCATCTGGCCAAGTACACCAGTCCAAAAACCAATTTTCGACAAGGAGAAACCACGATCAAAAAGCATCAGCGGTAGCATATTCATAGCACCTTGTTCCCCGAGTTTATAAATAAGCAAAAGGCCTATAAGATAACGTGAACTACGTGAATTCACTAGAGCTATTCTAAAAGCTTTTGTATATGAATATGCTTTATCTTCTGCTTCTTCTTCTTTCCCTTCTTGGTCCTTCGATTTCTCCTCATCAGCTGAAAATAAAAGTAACCAGATGGGAGAGAAGCAAGTTAGCAAAAGCAACATACTTATAATGCAGAAGCTTTTTTTTTTACCCTTTCATATAATAGTTTATCTACGAGCTTGCATTGTGTCCGAAAGGTCCTGAGTTCAACTCCCGACGGTGGGTGCGTACAGTCGATGGGTCCCACACTAGGACGAAACAGCTGTCCAGTGCTGGTTTTCAGTAGTTCTCTAACTGATTGATATCAGTCTGTGGTCAAAATTTATGAATAAAATATACCTTGTGCGTGCTGATACTCATGATAACGATGTACCTGGAACCTAAGTATGACCATTGCCACCTTCCACATCATGACAGTCCAAGTCTTTCATTTCATAATGGCAGACATTCTCAATAAATTATTACTGACACTAAAAATTTGTGTAGTCGATGTCATCAGGTCAGAAACTAAAATCATAGAAACCGAAATTCCTTGCTACTAAACACTTAAAAGTGAGATCTATGTGACTGATGAGAATTAAGTTTCAACTGTTTACTGGCTAGCGGCAAATTATTCGCTAGACTATAAGCTTTGATATTCGGTAGCGAATATTTCATCACCAAGTTGGATAACACCTTCTGTTTGTCTGTTTTCGACACAGAACTTTGCACCGATGTGCGGCAGTTCAAGTCGCCACACTCCATGTAGCATACAAAGCAAAAGAAGAAAGTAGAAGAAATGCAAAATAGAGACAGCAGACAGGAATATCAGACAAAAGGAATAGTAATAACGAAGAATGATATAGTTTCATTGGTAATTATAAGTCACAAGGAGTGGATGCATCTGCGCTAGCCATTGAGAACGATTTTGAGCCATATCACCGATTGTCTCCAGCCATTGGTTTTTACCGTCATAAGGACCCCAACCGGGAAGTCTACACCTTCCTACGCGACTTAAACTAACTGTCACAGATTTCATTGACTGGTGCAGCCATCTTTTGGTTTGACCGCCGCTAGCTCTTTTCCAGCCTGACCCTATATCAGCTAACATTGCGCGTTCAGGAAGGCGATGACTAGGCATACTTAAGACATGTCCTAACCATCTCAGTCGATGTAATTCCACAGCCTCATCGACTGATTCACTCTGTGATCACATACAATGGTGAGAGCCATAGAAACACCCTGGATAACACCTTCAACGTCGACTACATTAGGAAGTAGAGCATATTCACAGATGAATGTATTTTCACGAGTTTGTTCGTAGGGATTTGGTTTATTTTTCAATTTTGCCCACGGATTGATACCAGTTAGAGAGCCACTATAAACCATCAAGGAGTACTGGATAGCTGTTTCGTCCTAGTGTGGGATTCATCGATGGTATGCATCCACCTCCAAATTTCGAACCTAAGACCTTCCGGTCACAAGGCGAGGTTGTAGACCATTCAGTCACTGGGACCCCACTTAATGGCCTATGAATTCTAACTCCTACCTGGAATTCTAGTGAGAAGTTGTGACCAGTGGGATTCACCCGGTCGGGAGTGAGGCCAAATACTGGCCGATAACACTGACTAGTGGTCAGAATTTAGGATATGACCATTAAGTCTGGTCCCAATGACTAAATCGTCCACGAGCTGACCTTTTAACCTGAAGGTCCTGGGTTTGAACCCTGACGGTGGGTGCGTACTGCTGATGAATCTCAAACTAGGCTAAAGAAACAGCTGTCCAGTACTCCAGTGCTGGTTTTCAAAAGTTTCCTAATTCATGTCAACCCGTGGTCAAACTTGAAACAGATCATAGTGATTATTTGACTGGTGAGTACAAAAGAGAAACCAAGAAATAAGTTTTTGGCTGCAGAAGACTTTGAAAACAAAATACTGTGTTTATGAATCTACTCATACGAAACAAAAGTACATTATTTTAAAAATATCAAAAGAAACTTATTCACTCTTCAAACGTTTCACTAATTCACTTAACTTATAACTATGTAGTGCAGTGTATAGTCCTGAGAAGGATATCAGTGTCTAAAAAGATAAAAGTTATAGCTGGAGAAAAACTATAGATTTATGTGCTCAACTATAAGCCATATCTGGCTATCAAAAACAATCACAGTTGAAATCACCTCAACTGTAATCTGCTAGTTCAACGTTGACTACTGAAGCCAATAAGACACAGTTCTAAGGGAGATGTATCCTTTTTATTCCTTCACGTTCCCAGTGGAACATAGGGCACCTTCAAGCTATAGGCTTGAAGTTTCTGTAGCAGTAGTGATTATTTTTACAGGATGGGGTTGCTAGCCTCATGCCCAACCTTTCCTCTTTACCAGCATTATTTCTGGCTTAGCGAGGTAAAGGAGTGCATCGGTGGCCAGGGATCGAACCCCGGACCATGTACATGGTCGGCGAGCGTCCTAACCGCTGTGCCACACCCACGCATACAGGAAGATGTATCGACAAAAGAAAATGAAACACTTCTGATAATGTCAAGTAGAAAGACAAGTGTATTTGTGTTATGAAACATCTTTTCTGAACCATTGACAATCAGATTTACGTAGTTCTTACTAACTTTTGAACCCTTCATCGATCCCAAATACAATATCTATTATTCACTCATAGAATACATGTTAATTAATGTTCAGTGACTTCATTGGTAACCGTTGTATTTCAGTTAAGTCACATTAAGATCAGGCTAAGAGCTGATCTCAAGATATTAGATTAAACTGCAGTGAAAAACTTGTTTATTTTCAATTGAATTTTGATTTCCCCCCCGATTGATTGGGCCGAAATGCCCGGCTGTTGCTGCTGCTTCTGATATGTCGGCTCCTAGTATGGACGCTTCAACGATATCTGAAGATTTAACTTGAAGTAATTTGTGGATGATGACTATCAGTCGAGTCCAGAATGCGCAGTTTATCCGATTTGGCAGTGATGTCAGTCGCACAAGACATGGCAGTCGTTGCCCAGGTAGGTGGTCTAGTGGACAACACCTAGGGAATCGAAACATTGGATTCTGGGTTCGACTTTCAGTAGAAATGAAGGTGAGACCAGATGACGAGTCCCGAATCGGACGAAATATGCACCCTGGACTCCACTGATACTTACCACCTACTAAGAACGTTTACAGATTCGTTAACTGAAGTGAAAAAAAAACGTTAATTCAACAATCACTTGTACTCCAACGAGGCACACCGCTTGTGTTAGGATTGACTATCGATACACACTGGAAGCCTAAACCTCGTTAAGTTTGTCAAGACTTGATCCATGACTTAATTCTTGAAAGTCTAATGCCTAGATAAACCAGCCCACAGCTTTTACTATGAATTTATTTAACTAACTAATTCCAATGTAAAAATATGATTTATTGGCTTAAACACTCAACATTTCATCCAGTGGGCTCCAGGTTCGAATCCCGCTCCAACTACTTCAGTCTGGGCAACTAGGTAGTATCGTCAGCCTTCAAAACACAATAAGTACGGTTCGTAGCCTGAAATACAGAAGACCTGTTCTGAGAAATGAGTTTACACAACAATTTGATTCAAATCCACGCACAACTTGCACATTACTGAAATCAAATTTGCAAGTTGCAGTTTACACAGTTCGAGGAGGTAAAATTTCACCACAGTTTCCTCTAAAAACCGAAATTATCTAAATCATAATATGAAATCCACTTGATACCATAAGCAGTAATTTGGAAGGCAAGCTTAAATGCATGGAATAATGTACTGCGGATTGACTGAGGTGAATAGTTGTACACCGCTCATATCCAAAGAAAACTGTGGTAAAAGTTCACTTCCTCGAACTGTGTGTAAACTGCGAATTGCAAATCTGATTTAAGATGGTGCCAGTTCGCTCAAGTGACAGACAGCGGACAGTGAGGAAACATGCATAAAATGGTCTCACACAAAACAAGAACTTGGAGGATCTGAACTTCGCCGATGATATATGTCTGATTTCTCACAAACTGGAAGACATGCAAGTGAAAACCAACAAGTTAGCAGAAGAAACATTCACAGAAGATAGGCCTTCGTGTGGACATAGAGAAAATAGACGTAAGTAATGAAGATTCTTGGCCAACAGCAACAGACAAAAATCAGCATAAATAGGAGAAGTCTGAAAGAAGCAACCTCCTTTACCTACCTTCCTTCCTGGGAAGCATCGTGTCAACTAAATATGGACGAAACTGATGAGGATATCAGGGCGAGGATTGGGAAAACAAGGAAAGCTTTCATTACTTCCAAGTCTGCGTGGAGATCAACAGCACTACACAGAATGAGAATGAAAATAAGATCCGGATTTTCAACTCCAATGAGAAGTCAGTTCTACTATACCCATCAGAGACTTGGCGCCACGCCACGCCGCGTCACGAGCGTAATGTGTCTAGTCCTTTGTTGGGTGCACAGTGAATTCTAGCAGTAAAGTTTGCAACGTGGTCACCATGCCACCTAGGTGGCTCGACATCACGGTACACTTAGAAATGTTAGTATTAGGTGGTTGGGGGCAATCACTACGAAGCCTTGCCTCATCTAGGTTTCGTGCTCGTTGGCACTCAACAGTCAGTAAAGCATGTCTGCAATCTTGAAGGAATGTATGTTCCTCCTAAAATTCGAACCTGTGTCAGCCTGTGCTGCAGTCACAGACGTTTTTACTGAGCATGATACCAGTTAATAACTAGTGTCCAGTAAAAGTGACTGACTGGTTTCAACGTAGACCTTTGCACCTATGTGGAGCAATTCCAGTCGCCACACTCCATATAGAGCACAAAGCAAGTAAAGGGCGTAAAAAGAGATTCAAAACAGAGATATGACGCAAAAAAAATAGTAATATGGAAGAACCATATAGTTTTTTTATCGGATATTATAAGTCAAAAGGAGTGGATGCATCTGCGCCAGTCACTGAGAACGATGAGTTTGAGCCATATCACCAATTGTCTCCAGTCCAATGAAAGTATTCAACAGAATCCTACAGGAGGACAACCGCGAAACCAAATAGCTCAGTGGTAACGTCTCTGACTGCAGCACTGTGTGACACAGATTCGAGTATCCTAAGGGATGTGAGCCCCTTCAAGATTGCAGACACGCCTTGCTGACTGATAAGTGCTAACAAGCACGAAACCTAGATGAGGCAAGGCTTCCTGCCGATATCCTCCAACCATCTAATAACTAATCTCATAGACAAGGAGGATAAACTGTGCTGAAAAATCAATAACTTCACAAAACCAATAATGACTTTACCATTTACTTCAATAAATCCTTTACACGACCCACTTTCATGATTATTATTGAAAGTCTTCCAAAATCTTCCAATTAAGCAAAAACACATTCCAGATGCATATAAACAAGCAATTGACGCAAAGAGATAGCTTATTTTAACAAAGCCGGATAACCAAGATAAGAAACCACCACCGATAATTGCACCAACTTTATATCCAACCACTTGTATAGTATTCCCCAAAGACAATTGATCCAGTCGTAGAATTGATATTGTCAATGAATCAACAGTAATATCTTGTGATGCAGCCCAAAAGTTATACAGGAAAAGACACAAAGGTATACAATACATAAAGGTATTATCAGTATTGATAAGGTTTTCACTTTCATACAATAATATCAGTGTACAGGTGAAAAGACCACTGAAAGTGATAAATAGCCAAAGCCGTTTATTCACATGCCTATCGATCACTGGAGCATAAAAACTCTTGAATAACCAAGGAATATGAAATAATTTATATAAGCCTAATGAAGTCAAAGATACACCTTTATTACGTAATACAAGAGGAAGAAATCTTGATTGAACACCATATGGTATACCACCGAGTAGATAGAAATAAAATAAAACTACCAGGTTATACATTGAGAATTATGTGTGTTTATTTTTAGCACGTTTGTTTTACAGGTATCCAAGTATTAAAAACAGTGATAGACAGTAAGGGGGATACTAGAACAGGTGGTAAAGAGCAACGACATAAATGAATGAGACGAGAAACCGACTGTCTTATATGGGTATAATAATTTGAAAGTAATGAAAACGGAAGTGGTTAGGTAGAAAACCACCTATGCAGAGAAACAATCGATAACTTCAGTCTTCAGCAGTTGGTCGATGAATTAGGGCATTGTGAAGCACAGTATTACTGAAAGGCTGACTATTAATTCAGGGTTTTGAATAACTGTTTTCCATTCATCCAAGTGAATTCAGTGGTAGGATTTTACCTAAAACACGGAATTTAATAAATAAATATGACTAGACACAAGTATGTAGTACAAAGAAAAAGGCATTAAAACAAAAACACTATTAGTTCAACATGTATTTACTACTTTCTGTACCCCTTTGGAGTTAGGTACTTACGCCGTACCAGTGAGAACATAGTCTAGACGCAATCATGAACACTTACTGACATGGTTATCAAAAAGTAAACGCAGAACAGTTAACGGCTCAATTCTACTGGATTCAACATAGAACTTGGCACCGAAGTGCAGCAGTTCGAGTTGCCACGTTCCAAATAGCACACAGATAGCTCAATTCTACACCACATTACAACCTTCAAACACGCAGGATCAGCACAGACTTCATTTTGAGCCATATAAGAATAAAGAATGCATTGGATACAGAACTCCGCCAGCCACCAGAACAAGGTAGATTTAGGGGAAGACAAATCACGTGCTGATCGAATTGCTACTCTACGTATAGTCATCGACTTCGAAAAGGACGTCGATACACAGTGTTTGCCAAGAAGAGATTTGGAAACTACTACAACATTACGGTGGGCAATGCTGAAGTCTTTATCAGCCTCATTCAACAGCTATATGACAGTGGGACGTGTCAGGTGATCCACAACAAGAAACTCAGCGAGGCGTTTGAAATGCATACAGGAGTAAGACAAGACTGCCTGCCCATTATCACCGATGATATTCTTCATTGTGGTGGACTGGATTATGCGTCAGACTGTGGACAGTGAGCAGACAGCAGTAGGCTGGATCACCGATAAGAAGTGTAGAATATCTGGATTTCTCAGACAACATATGTCTAGTGTCACACAAACTCGATGACTTGCAGGCCAAAACCAACAAACTGGCTGAAGAAGCAGCGAAGATAGGACTCTAAATGAACGTAAAGAAGACGATGATGAAGATAACCAACGAACCACAACAACAACAACCAGCCCCAATTATCATCAACGGGAGAGATTTGACAGAGGTTACTTCCTTCAGTTATCTAGGAAGCACGGTTTCAACCACAGGTGGAACGAATGAAGATGTCAAAACCAGGCAGAATCGGAAAAGCGAGATACACCTTCATCAACCTGAAACCGGTTTGCAAATCTTTTGCACTTAACCAGCATAAAGAACAAGTCAGTAATTCCTTCTTTACGGGTCAGAAACTTGCACTGCGTGTCACGGAAAAGATTTCCAACAGCCTGTTGCAGACTTTTATCAACAGCTGTCCCCTTCGCTGGCTTCATACTGAAGATCAAATGGCCGGCAGCCGGAAAGAATTAGCAACAAGAAACTCTGGCTGGGAACAAACCAACCAAGAGCCGATCGCTCAACAAATATGTTAGAGAAAATGGGGAGGGATCGGATATACATTGAGGAAACCGTCAAATGACACAGCGCACAATGCAGGCAATTGCCCGAGTAGAATCCCAAATGAGAAGCGACGAGTGGGTCGTCGTTGCGGGGGTGACATTCCACAAGTTGAAGAGGACGATAGAAGATAGGACAAATTGGAGATATGTTGTTGAAGCCAGACCTATGTTCCACTCGGAACTCAAGGGAATAATATAATAATAAAAATACATCTTCTTCATGCAGTTGAAGGTCTAGTAATACATAAAGAAAAACTGCAACTCTGTGTTCATAAACGTTAAATCCAACCTTTTTTTATTAACATGGCCTTAGCGTAAATTTTGTTTTCCTGAACTGTTGTGTAATATACTATGTAGTCCTTTTATCCTTCATTTCTATAACCCATTTTGAGTTTTTTGTTCTCGTGTTTCTTATCAATTTCAAATTAATAATTATCACCTGACTAATTAGTTGTCAAGCCTCTTGATTAGGCAAGATTATTCAATATTTTTCACACGCTGTTACTCCTCAAACACATTGGCTTAGAATACGCGGATGATATAGTGCTTCTAGGTTAAGACGCTAACAAAATGCTGTCTTCTGAACACCTTAGCCAGCAATCTTCGAATCTTACACGCGTGCGATTCACTCCTGTCAAATGTAAAATGATGCTACAAAACTGGACTACACCAACTCACTCCTAGCTTACAGATAAACTGGAGTGAAGTGGTTGGTAGAGCGTGTTGACCAGTTCACTTATTTGAGAAGTTGCATAAGCCAGCCCCAACAGGTTTTATTTATTTATTTAAACGCAGAAAAAACTTGGTACAATATAGCACCAAGAAAGATGCGCCACACAAGTTGTATGAGGGCTGAGATACTGTTCGAGCGCCCAGACCGAAGCAGATGGTTTTCTTAAGCGACCACCCGCGAGCCTTTGACTTGGAGTCTAATCCGCAGGGTAGCGGAGCAGCGTCAGGAGCTGCATTCCCATGGTTGTTAGTGACTCATATGGGTTCATACGCCATTTTTTATTACAGCTTGATGCTACACCGTATTTTTAGTACAAGTATGGAATTTTCAGCATGTGATATCGGTGGCCCAAATTTTGCAGGCCAACCATAGATATCGGGTGTGCGTTGGCAGAGGATCGAACCCTGGACCATGTGCATGGTTGGCGAGAGTCCTAACCACTGTGCCACCGACGCACATGTACCCGTGGTAACTGCTTTTAGTCTAACCGCTATCCAAACAACCTTCCTGACATGGCAGGACCTGCAGGGACATGAGTCCCAGCCAGTTTAGCTTGTTGGGTCACTGCGGTATTCAAGCCCGACCACCACGGCGAGGTAGCAGTTGCCGGCCGGATTGATCGCTGACGAAATCTTAGCAGGGATACAGAGGGTTCGTTTCGCATATTCCAGTCTACGCCACCCCTGACGTAAACGTGATATCTAACTGGCTATCAATCAAAGGACGTGTGTACTGAGCAGCAGTAGTTCGCTCCTCCTCCTTTATGAATGTGGCCACTGAAAAGCTTGACAGACTGTCTTTTACCATAAGTGTCTGCGTTCTTTCTCCTCTTTTGGGTTGCATAATAGGTTAGTTAAAATTGAGGTTAGGAGTCATAGTAATCGGCGAAGTTGTGAAGTTACATCGACTGAGATGACTAGGATATGTGTTACGCATGTTTAGCCATTGCCCTTCTCGATGGGCAATATTAACTGACATAAGATCACGTTGTAAAAGAGCTAATGAAGATCAAATCAGTCAATGAAACCCACAACGGTTAGTTTAAGTCACGCAGGGAGGTGCACACTTCATGGTTAGGGTCCTCAAAATGGCTAGAATCAACGAAAGCCGGAGACAATTGGTGATATGGCTCAGAATTATTTTCAATGGCGCAGATGCACTCACTCTTTGTGATTTATCATATCCAGTAAAATTCTCTTGTTCTCCCATGTTACTACTATTTTCCCCTCACTCACACTTCTGTTTATTGTTTTTCTTACAAAGTTCTCCCTACTGTCTCCTGTTGCTTCGTATGTGGTACATGGGCAGCGGCAACTAGAACTGGTGCAAGTTTGTGCAAAATTCCATGTTGAAACCAGTCAGTCACTTAGTATTTTGTAACCAAGTGACAATAAACTCTCACCTTTATTTTAAATCAACATTGTAGATATAACCTCCAGATAACTATATAGTTTCAAAGTGAAGTTACGAAGAGAGACCCCTTCGCTGACTAGTGTGATCTTAGTTACTACAGGTAGTATTATAATCTTAAACTTAAGCAATTAATTCGGAAAAGTCAGATTACTGAACCACAAAAATGTGTACAAGCAATTAGCATAAAACACTAAACGATTCAGATAAATTACGTCTTCTTATTTTGTCGAAATGGAAAATAAGGAATAATAGTAATAAACAACCTAACAGGAGAGTCGTAGTGCGCAATAAACGAAAAAAATTATGCTAAATGAGTGTACTAAGAATATTCCACTTCTATTGATTTGACAATGAGAATTCATGAAATGCTAAACCAACAGCTTCTAAATTCTAAAGGAATAACCGAGCTTTTATGTCGTAGTAGCCTTGTTAGCTCCGCTCCCAAATATCCCATAACAGTAGTAAGATTAGAAGTACCTACCCTTAAAATGGTAGTACTTCACACTATGATAGTTATCAATGAGTGAAGTTGCATTACTGTTAGTATGCAGAAGTAGAAGGTCAACTCCGAAAACTATACACCTACGAGGGTCTTTCGGAGGCAATGAGGTTTTCCAAGCGAAGACAACAACAATTGAGACGTCTTTAAGCAGGTTGTATGTAAGTGACTTTAGTTATATGTATTGTTGGGCGAAAATTGTTTCCTCCACCCAGCCACCTGAGCCGGTAGGGAAGGTACGAGACTCACATAGGCATATAGTTTAATATCTGAGAACACATGATCCTAAAGAAGTTAGCACATACTGATATCCTAGAATTTCTGGGTTTTAATTACGTGAAACGTGATAACCTGACGAGAAATACAGTTCCTCATTGTCAGGAAATAAAATTTCGTGCAAGATTTTGAGAAATACAATTTTGCTTGCCTGTTCTAACAGAAGGGGGTTAAGATATGTAGCCTCGCTGACATTCATATCCAAGTGGTATATATGTGAAATATCTTCAGGGACTTTCTTTTTCCAGGTTACTACATACAGAAATACTAGCTAGAGTGAACCAACAGTATCTTAATACGGATTTTTAAACATGCCTTGTAAAACAGTTCAGCTAGCATTTTCTTAGAGTGCATCGCAGAACATGGGCCAATGACCTGAAGTCTACCAGACACATTCTGCAGTGCTCCCGAAGTCAACGCTATCTGGGATCCAAGCTAGCAGTATAACAGCTCCAGAGCTACATTTGCACAAAATATTATTGTTTTTAGACAGTGAGGGGGTACATTTCAAACCAGGAATCAAACATTCACCGTAGAAACCAAAACTTTCAATACCACCCCGTGCTAACTTCGGTGACTCTAAAGAATAGCGGCCCAAACCGAAACGACTTTTTAACGCAAAAATGAATTTATAAATTCATCCAGGTAACTGTAAATCATGGGATTTCTCGATCCATTAACCGCTATTATACGTCTTTTTAGACGACTCCAAAAACTTTCAATGGAACTGGTGTGGGTTCCATCCAAAGGATTCCGCAAACCGTCCGTATGATTAACAACATGATGAATGTACCCGGGTACATTCATCATGGCCATGATTCGATAATTGACGGTATTCGCTCCATTCATCTGTATGAATAGTCGTCCCCGGCAACACCAAACGCTTATTAATAGGCACTAATACTGCTGCACTGCGATTAGGAATCGCCTCTATATACCCTTTGCGCAGTGTCGTGTCGTAGATACCCAGTATCCACTGCTGGTTTGCTTGTAATCTCCCGCGGTTGTATTTCCTTTTTATAAATACAGTCTCATCAATATGGACTATGCTGCCGACTCCTCCGAGAACTTGAGTCAAGGTGTTCATTTTCCAGGAGGAAACATCTCTGCAGTAGTTGTACCATTGCACTGCTGATACCTCTGAATTTTCTGTTTCATAAGCTGTAGCTGTGAATGCTCTTTTCAGGACCCAGAAGTTACAGATCATTAAAATTTTCGTCGAAGGTAGTTTAGACCTTGAGAGAAAAGTTCCTAAGGGATCTGTAAACTAAAAAACAACGACAAACCTCGAACCGATTTCCTCCTTCGGCACTCAATACATCTGTATACAAAGCCATCAATGGCCTCTGTGTATTTTTGTATATGCATAACTCCTCCGCATTGGCCAATTTTCGACAAAGCTATCAGTCCGTTAGCCAAACAGTAATCGAAAACATCCATGATTACTTCCGAAAATGATACAGTCAGCTGGTTCCTTGCCCAAGGTCACTTTTTGTTCGAAGGTCGTTTCGGTTTGGGCCGCTATTCTTTAGAGTCACCCTAACTTCTTCGGGATCACGTATACGTGACTAGGGCGTTACATTTAACAGTAATAGGTATATAAAATTAGTTCAAACAGAATAATTATTCTTAAGAATCTTCAACATATTGCGAGAGAGGTTCGTATTACCCTTACTCACACAATGAAAACATTGAAACCAACCAAAAACAACGTGTAACGCAAACAGATATAATTGACCTTGCTCTCACCTTGAAGACGTATACGCGCTCTTGAACATTTGTCAGGCACGCCAAACAGATATAAAGAAAAAGGACTGAAATTATCCGTAACTTAACAAGGTCATTGGTGGAGTGAGACGCTCAATATCGTCCGCGTAATTGAAAAAGTTCCTTCCGTACATTAGGTTCATCAAACAAAAATACAATTGGTAGTGGACGACTTCCCCCTGACCTACATTGTACTGCTTTCACCCTGATAAATAAGAATGAAGCCATATGACAATCAGTTTGAGTTTCATCAAGCTTATCTAACAAAATATCTCTAGGTACTAAGTCGAAAGCAGATGTGTAATCTAGGAAAGTGCAGTGAATTTAGCCCCATTGTCTATACTGGAGAAAATGTTGTGATGCAAGACTGCAGCTGCATCTAAAGTTCTTCTACTGTGTTTATAGAAGAATTGTTTGGGATCGTTAAAGGCTTTGAGTGAAGGTTGAAGATTAAGTAAGAGTAACTTTTCATCAGTTCGTATATACGTCATTTGCATTTAAACCAAGGAAGCAACTATTATTAACACTAGTGACACCAGAAACCTTGGCATTTGTGGGAGAATTTATCAAAGACTTGTTTAGTGTGCGCACATCAAATGAATAGGGAATACTGGAGGTAATTACATGCATAAAGGCGTGAGTTATTTAATATCCATAAAGTAGATATGCAAATACCGCAGTTGTTGATCATAGAAATGGATATTAGATAACATCCTATAATTCAACGGAATATTAGAAATAAATAAAAATTGTTTCTTAGCTCATTGTCAAAGGAACAGTCTATTTGACGGTGTCGCTGCATATTAACAGATTAGTGAAGTAACTATCAAGCCTAAGTTACTACATTTAATTGTACTACATACTTGGCGTTTAACAGTATACAGACCTGCAACTGGCTAGATAAGGCGACTTTAGAGTATCGAACAGTACAGAATTATTATTCAACTTGCTAAATCCTACTTAGCTTTTACAATGTGCTATTGTGTAGAAACAGGCACGAAATCCTATTAATAACTAAAGTAACAGTCCCATAATACTACAGTAAATCTCCATCCCACTAACTAAGCTTAGCGTTTACTATTCCTAATTCACTTATTGCAAAAGCACATAGTATAGCAACCAATTGGAAAAGTCCAGGGGAATTACAAATCAAGAGCATATAAAACATTTGATGAATTTACTAAAGAAAATTCTGATGAAGGGTATTAACATTAGTTTGACCGAATGATGTTTCCGCTGATTTCATATTCGACAACCTCCGTATACCTGAAAAAATAAAGTACATGTAAGAACTAGCATAACATGAAGTTACAAGAGATAATTCTGCATATTAGCATACACTATAAATACAATGATTCTGTCAATACTAAGTAATACCTCAGGCAGATAAATGTATTTGTAGTCTACAGCTGATTTTTATGTCGACGCCGTATGCATAAATAGACATCATATGTTTTCTAGTGTTTGAGGATTATACGCAAATTTCAAGACAATCTCCGAAACATCCATACTATTGAGGCGTCATTCTCTCATCAAGCTTACTTGCAGATCACACTTCACACAGATCAACACACACTTTTACATGAAATGAAGTATTGCAAATGTGTAACTTAGAAATTAATCCACAATCTCAGTAATGTCTAGTCCACAAGGTTTTGTGAATCCTACAGAAATCACATTCTCACATTTTGGAGACTATAGGCATCAAATATAAGCTGAACATGCCTCAACTCTAGACAGCTATGCACAGTGTTAACGACATAGAGAAACACTTAAACTATTGTAAAATACACGGACCTGTTGTGTTGATGAGGATAATAATGTCATATAATGCAAACTAGAAAATTCAATCGTCATAGCGCATCTGTACTGCTTTGTCTAAATGGAAATTTCAGGAGAAGTGCATCTCCGCTATTGGTGATCAAAAGTATTGCAGCATTAAGTATACAGTCAGTGGAAATTGTAATAAATTCATATTAATGATAATAAAGCTGAATAGATTCAGTTCTCATAATCACCACGACTCATGCGTATAATCATGCCGTGTAATGATTTAGTGCATTGATTGGAACATCACGGAAATTTAAACCAGTAATTGCCTTCTCCTACGCACTGTACTCGCAACAATCATGACAACCACCTACGTTTGTTATCCTATCAGTCAGCTAAGTAGACAATATCACAATATTATTAAAGTTGAGATACTTTTCTACATTTAATTTACATAACCCATAGCACACTGCACCAATCAGTACCAATATATATGAAATCCACTTAGAGATAACCTTTCAACTTACCATAATTCCTGTCCAACCACAGATAGAGTGAAAAGCACATCTAAATGATAACTTAGGTTCCCACAAACGATTCTGATAGTATTTGCAGGTGATTTCCAAATACTGAGAGAATTATTTTGTCAAAAAAGACTGTTCTTCGAACGAAAATAGGCTGCATTGATATATTCGTCACTTCATCCAGGTTACGTGCCTCTGAGCTTGGCCTATGCACGGTTACGCATTTGCTTAATTCACACGATAGATCGTGGACAACTGCAAAGAACTCTGAGCGTTGGTCAGTGATCAAATGTTCACTGAAATCAGACTAGGCTATCTGAAACGAAGTATCCATATTACCTGGCCAAAATGACACGAGCTGAACGGTTTGGCTAGTTGGTCAGATACGAATGACCTTAGGAGTACGGTCATTCAAGAAGAAATATATATTCCAAAAATAGCTAATATAATGCGAGAAGAAATACAAAGTGGAACGAAGTCCCCGGATTCGTCTGCGTGTTAACCAGGGATGAAGTTCACGGTAGGTCTCACCAGTTTAGAGGTTGAGGGTGTTGACGTTCACGGACAGAACGATTAATAATTAAGCAAGATCTGATACCCACAACTTCTATGGTATTCGTTTCGCGTAGATCAAAGGCAAAACAAGGCACAAGATGAATTCATGTCTCAGGATATAAGTCTTCATTGAATGATACTATGCCGAAAGGTGCAGCTTCTACATGGAGTAAACGATTTGTGTAAATGGCATTACCCTCAAACTATCCTATCTTCCTCATTACACCGACATTTTGATACAGTTCGCCTGAAACACTAATCATTGCAACCAATATGCTAAAAGTGTGTCGCAGTCAGATCACATAAATAAATAAATAAATAAATAAATTCATTCTCATGATACAGTACATGAGGGACGCCAGTTTACAGGCATCATCAAATTGTTACAGAAATAGGATCATATTATTCAGTCACAATTTACAGTCGATAGCAAAATATGTTTAACATGTACACTGGAGATTATACGTACACTTGACAAATGTTAATCCGAATAGTATAAAACATCCTTTTCACTTATGTACAATCATTTCTGTGCATAGTCGGAAAAATCCGCTAGATTTTCAGTGAGTGCAACACATCAGGATATACAGAAGTATTGTATTCGCATTAACAAAAAACCCAGGTCTTTGGTGGATGGGTTATAAGTGCCTGGGAAAAAAATAAAGCTTGAAGTCAGTTTTCATACATAATTTTTTTGTGTACAGAATCCTTGATTTATAGTTCATTGATGTGTTATTTTGAAATCAGAGAAATGTTTATTTCATTTAAATAAGTAAATAGATGGATTGATTCTCATGGTACAGTACATGAGGGACGCGGACACCAACATAACTAGCCAAAACATGGGAATTTCCATCAGTCCAGATAACATATAACACAATTTTATTAAAAATTATTGGCACAAAAAAATTTCCAAGCGGAACTTCAACATTACGTGATAAATAAGTCCAGCCAAAAGAAGCCTTCCCCAAAGTGATTTCTATGTGGAACTTGATAGCATTCGAAAGCTCTAGCTACAACCAACGGTCTATTGTCAGTCGAAATTAATATTACTTTTGATATATTTAGGAGACAATGTAGGGAATTCAATGGAATCATTACACACAGCATTCACCACTGAACATTGGATACTGACCCTCACTGTTTTGGTCAATTTGTTTAGCTGAAGGCCCACGGTCAAGCATCCATGCCACTTATCACACCGTCGTGTTACGTTCGTTCGTTCGTTCGTGCACGATCCCTAGCTAGTTCAGCAATCATCTCGCACTCTAATTCGGTCCCGAAATATAATTCGTAACCTGGATGATCAAATCTTGTGCCTTGTTTTGCCTTTGATCTACGCGAAACGAATACCATAGAAGTTGTGGGTATCAGATCTTGCTTAATTATTAATCGTTCTGTCCGTGAACGTCAACACCCTCAACCTCTAAACTGGTGAGACCTACCGTGAACTTCATCCCTGGTTAACACGCAGACGAATCCGGGGACTTCGTTCCACTTTGTATTTCTTCTCGCATTATATTAGCTATTTTTGGAATATATATTTCTTCTTGAATGACCGTACTCCTAAGGTCATTCGTATCTGACCAACTAGCCAAACCGTTCAGCTCGTGTCATTTTGGCCAGGTAATATGGATACTTCGTTTCAGATAGCCTAGTCTGATTTCAGTGAACATTTGATCACTGACCAACGCTCAGAGTTCTTTGCAGTTGTCCACGATCTATCGTGTGAATTAAGCAAATGCGTAACCGTGCATAGGCCAAGCTCAGAGGCACGTAACCTGGATGAAGTGACGAAAACAGCTCGACAGGTGAGAAAATATC